TGCACCGCATTATCACAGTCGAAGAATTGAAAATCATGTGATTGGATTATATCCGTCGTTGACACGATACACTTTCAAATTGCAATGATTTTAATGCCACATCAACGTTGTGCTTGTTGTTGTTGTTGCTGCTGTTCAAATCAATTCGCGTGAAATTGATTTCGATTTCATATTCTATTGAAATCATATAGACAAATTGACCCCGAACATTTTCAACAGTGTAGTCATCGCATTTGAGTATGGGTGTATAAGCGAAGTAGCAGAATAACGACGATACGCTGTTCAAATAACACAAGAAAGAAACAAGCAAACGACACACAAAAAAAATGAAGAAAAACAACAACACATGCGCCAACCGAGCCGATTTGCTTGTGTGTATGCGTTACATTCGAACATATTGAGTTCCAACAGTTTTCAAATAGATTTTCTAGACACTGTGCTTCGAATATAGCTTCTTAATGTATGGTGTTGTTTGTTCTGCTGACTTTTGCGTCTCATGAAATTTTACTACCGTTGTTTTGCTTTCCGAACGACTCTGAAATTAGCGCTATTGGATCGTATGACGGATTCGAATTAATGCAAATTCTCCCACGAATGAATTGAATTTTGATGTTTCGGGTCAACACATAAAAGTCAAAGTTTTTATGTGAACCTTCAATCTCTCCCCTTAAAATGGTAGTATTTTCGACTTGTCGACGGAAGAGCGCCCGTTATTTGAATCCAGTTAGAGAAAGATTAATTTCGAACAATGTAATAAAAACATTTAACCAAAGTGTCAAAGTTCCATTCAACTCATTCAGCGATGAAAAATTTCGTGTCGGTTTTCTTTGAATTTCAATACGAAGCACCTATGTAGTATCACCGATCATGATGAAATCAGCTAAATTCATGAATCACAATGGCAAAAAAAGAGCAAATCGAAATTGATGTGGAACCAACAAACGAATTTAAAAAAAAAATAGCAAATTGCCGAAAGACGTAATTATGTTACCATGAAATGGCATGAATAATAACGACAGAAAGAGAGAGAATACAATAGAAAACTGAGCACTAGGAGCGCAAATAGTGTGTAGTTGTTCTGGCAATTTTTGCTTTTTTGCACATGATTCTTACGCAATACAGTATACACCGATTAATGACCACATCATCATACAGGTTCAATGCACTGCCGTAAGTGCCAAATAAATGAGCACAAAATTGTAATTAGCGATCAACTTTAGATCGATTCGATCGACATCGTACATTGCCCTGCACAACGTCATTGTTGTCATAGTTTTTGGGCGAAATTTTCGCGCAATAAAATGTGTAAGTAGATTTCAGTGTAAGATAGAGAACGCATTTGAAAGACGTAAAAATGATTCTCATTCTCGGTGAATGTAGAACGGGAACGGTTTGACTATAAAAATCAACCGATTCATTCGCTTGAGAGTGTGTGTGTGTGTGTGTGGTGAAAAAGTCATCGACTCTGATTTTATATGCGAAATAAATATAAATGTGGGTACGTGTGTGTGCTTGAAGTAAAGATAGAGTGCGCACTCAGACAGCATTACCAATTCAAAATGGAATTGGTTTGAACACAGAAATTTCATTGCATGAATTTTATTTCCAAACATATGCGCATTGTGGTCGTAATTTGTATCTGATGTGGGTATTTATGTCTATCTATGTGTTTGGGTCATCGCAGTATAATAGCATTACTGCATCTAAACAATGTCACAAACAACTTTTCTACCATAATGTAGTCAATGTTTACTAAAATTTCTAATTACTTTGAAATATTCACTTTATGATTTCTGCCGAATGCTGCAAATCATAAATGCGGTCATGAAAAATTGTCTATGGGGTAGAATATATCTTACATTCGACGCAATATGTCGCATGATAATCTATTTTGAATGCTTTCTGTAATCAATAATTTGCGTTCAATATTTGCAAATACCACAAAGCCGAATGAGTGAAAGAGAGAGAAAGTAGAAAAGGTACTGGAAATAAAAGCTGAATGTGGCAATCAATTGAGACATACCAAATAAGAGCGAGTATTTGCATTTCAATAGAAGCAGCATCGGTTCAAGTAGTTCTATTGAAATTGAGAGTGAATGGAGTTCACTTCACATGGTGAAATACCTCATCGATGCACACGATGCTCTCTTCGCTTTTGCGTATGCTTCAATAAGATTTTATTCAATTGTAATACATATATTTTATTCATTTTTCTCTCCGTTCATGTAACAAGTTAGATCAATGCATAAATGGTATTTAAATGTGTCGAATGAAATGAAGAATAAAGCGAAAGAAAGGAAAAACAACGCTGATGAACAAAAAAGACCAACACTCGTTTGTTGTACCAAACAAACGCATGGATTTTCCCTCAAATTGACTACACTTCACAGAGCGATTGAGGTTGAATCGAGAGATAGAGGCAGTGGCCAAATGAGAAAGAGAGAAAGAAATGGAAAGTATTACAAATGTTTAATGGAAACTTTCTCTCACTCGACAAAGCAAAGACACTCTAATATGAAAAGTACACTCTCTTTCAAATGTCAAAGAATGTGCATTTGATGTTGAACCTTTAAGCAATCATTTCTATGAATTCCTTTGTTGCAGCTCGCATTCTTTTGTTTCATTTTTTTTTTTATTGAATACATTTATGCAATGGTATGTCACATCTAACAATGTATTCAATTTCTCAATACATTGTAGTGGTTAAAACATTTCTCAATACATCTTAAAATACTTAACATCCACCGCTTTGGGGAGGGGAATAAAAACTACCACCTTCGATTTCACCTGACACATGATTAAATATGACATGAAAAATCACTTCACTGTTGTCTAGTATTTTTGTTGGATAAAGTCCGGATTTGGCTCAACACTGACTTAAATGTGTAAGCAAATGCGGTAATATTCTGACACACACACAAAGTTTAGAGTAAATTATAAACCATGTATAACAATGATATGAAGAGTCCTCGATGCATGCGATTTTTGACAACCAGTAAAAACCATAATGTTGAGCGTTGAAAGCCGCATAATTAATTCATTTGTCGTCATGAATAATGGAAAGGGTGCAGCGAAATGTAAATATATGGAACAGAATTTAATTTAAATCTCATGCACATGTGAATGATGTGGAGTGGAAGACAGCAACATCTATGAAAATGGCAGCAGTATGACTGGTGACTGCACAATGTGTATGTTAATACGCACATATTCTACAGCATATAGGCGAAAAGCGAAGTATGAAAATAATTTCATCATTTTAAATCTCTTTTCATGTGTGTTGTACCGTGGATGAACCGAAAAATGTTCTAAAGCAACTGATGCAACTATTTTGAACACTAAATGATGGGATTTAATTTACTTGCATAAGCGATCCGCGTCAAATAACTTTCAAATAAATGAGAATATGTTATGATTTGTTTGCAAATGAGAAAATGGATTTATGTTTTTTCTTCTTTCTATTTCGAATTGAAAAGCGTTGTGTTTTCGTATATAAAAAGATTGAAATTGATATCCATGAAATTTTGTAATTTAAAAAGCACGGAACCGCATTGAAGTAGTTTAGGAAACGTTTCACTGTGTGACGACAATTCTATAGAAACTGGGCCACAGTTTTTGTGAGTTGTACTTACCTATTTCGAAGTGGATTTTCGTTTTAGTTTATTTGAAAATGCATTTGGTTTGTATGACATTTCGATTATTCATTTTCATTTCACTTTGATATGGAACGCAAAGGTTTACTTCATTTTAATTTTGTACTGCTGTGTGCATTGGGCATAAATATGCAAATCGACGTATTTCACAAGGTCATAGAACGCGTTGCATTCAAATTGAAGCCAAATGGATATGTTGGACGAGAGCTTTGCACACACCGAACACAAGCACACCATAATGCAGGTTGATTCTGAAAAGTGGTGTTAGAGCCATAGAAAGAGAGCTGAACCGAATTTTATCCACAAAATGTATGGAAGAACGGTATTCATGGCAACACGTGTAATTTGGACACCGATGAGAAAACACTGAATTCAATTGTTCATTATTGTAATTATGCAGGCAGTTATGTAAAGTGTGATACAAAAGTGTGTGTATTTGCTTTCATAATTGGTAGTATTAGATGGCCGATAAAACAATAGAAAAAGGCGTCGATGCTTGTCATTTCAATCAGACAATCATTGATTGAATTTCTACCCTCCTTGTATTGATTTCTGTTCAATTTAGACGTCACATGTATTCATTCAAATGAAATAACACCAGGGAAGAAAATACCAACTTTAAATTGAGCATAAAATACGAACAGCTCTGAATAATTCATTTGGTAAATTGAAATCAACACTTTTATTTAACGCTAAACTGTTACTTTTTGGCGGCAATTTTTGTTTGGTAATCTTTTTTTTGGGAACAGTGTTGGGGCGAACAGTAAACAGCAGGAAGTAGAATGAATGCACGAAAAAAAGCTATGAATCCAAATAAATATGATGGAAAAACTTTTCCAGACACTAAAAGATTAAAAACGAACATACAAAGTTTTTTTGTTTAATTAAAACCGCCAGGAGGAATAAATTGCTATTTCTCAGCGTGCGGTATCATTTTCATAGAAATATCGTTTCTAACAACAAGGATTTGTCTCTCATCCGAAATTGTTGCCAAAACTCTCTCTTTGATGGTAGACATTTTTTCGGTGGTCTGTCCTTATTTGGAACACAGTCATGGATTTATATAACAAGCTGTCTCTTTGTCATCGAAACTAAACAAAAATTGAGTCGAGTCAAACAAAAAAAAACCAAAATGGAAGAGATATAGAAAAAATGTGACTTTCAAATATTTACTTTTTAAAAGTTTTTTCTCTTGTAACTTACTGACGACAAACAATGGCGTTTGTTTTTCCTAAATAATTTTTACACCAAAATAAAATGTATTGTCATGCGAATAAAAACTGTGTTGGTTGAAAATAAACTTTTTGTTGAATTGAATTTAAAAAGTATGCTCTATTGTGTGCTTACCAGTGGGGTCATGATGCGCTTGTGGTGGCATCGGACAAAATGCACTTGATGCATGATGTATGCTCGGCGGAGGTTGAAGTAAATGCTGTGGTGGTTGTGCATATAACGGTGGATATCGATACGGTGGCTCACATTCGGGTGGCATTGGTGGTAATGCTGATGAAGACGACGGGGTTCCAATTTGTATACCATGTGGATCTAATAAATCAACGAAACATGTAATGAATGAGAAAATTAACTAAGTAAGCACCAAAATGATTTTCGGTAGATGTGTGATGAGTACTCACCACTTTCATTACCTGGTGGAAGCATACACGATAGTGCATTCAATGGTGTGTAGGATTTGGGTGGTTCTTGTGGTGTTGGACGAACGAGACGCTCTTCGGTAACGCTCGATTGAACACGATATTGCATTTTACAGTATGCTTCTTGGCTTGAGCCAAGCGTTGAATTAACATAAACGCCTGTAATTGTTACATCGGTGTCTTGAACAATGACGACATTGCTTGCTACGGGCTTCGTCTGAAAGCACAAAAACACAAAAAAATTCAATTAAAATCGATAAAATATAATAATGAATTTGCGATGTTTCGAATGTCGCAAAGTTTTGTATAATCAGTGAGTATGATAATTCTGTTTGAATACGTACATCTTTTGGTTCAAACACTTCATTTTTGATGTCTTTTGCTTTTTTCGGCGGCGGTGTGATATGTTCTTCAGCATCGGCGGCGCTCACTTTGTACATTTTTTCTTCGCATTTGTCAAATTGGCGTTCAACCTCATAACTAGCTGCCATCATTGCACTTGCATTCAAACTCGCCATACGCTTTCTCACAACGACTTCTTTGATATCGGTGGATTTTGCAACGGCAGCTTTAGCAATGGCTTTTTTCAATTTTTTCAACTTTGGCTTTCGGTCAATGGTCTTTGAATCATGGTCATCGGTATCGCTATCACTGCTAGTATCCGTATCGCCAACGCTTGATTTTGTTTTAAAAGGGCTACTCTTGGCTTTTACTTTGCTTGGTGTTGTTTTTAATTTTTTATTCGCAACTTTATTTGATTCATCTTTACCGGCTGCCTTCTTAGTCGATGCAATTGGCTTTTTCGATAGTATTTTCTTTCTGATTTTCGTTTTCATTGGCTTTGACTAGAAAGTATATGATTTTTTGTCAAGTATTTGAAATGCATAAATATAAACAAAATCCAGCTATTTTATTAAAATTGAAACTTCTTCAAAATAAAACTTACCATTTTGTGTATTTCTTTTTCTGTATCGGATTCGTCCATGCTGCTGTTTTCCATTTCCCATAGTGTGCCTTCTCCGCGTCCCGGCATCTTTCTCAAAGTTCGATTATTAACAGCAACGTCATGTCGTTCCAATTCGATATTTACATCGTCACCACCTCCACCATCTTTTTTCGCTTTCTTTTCCTTTTTCTCCGGTTCGGATGCGGATACTTCCTTTTCTTTTCCATGATTTTTGGTCGATATTGTTGGCGGTTCGCTTTTGTCACCAGCATCCGAGACAAATTTCATTCGCTGCACATTTTGTGGCTCTTTAACGAAACCGAGCTCTTGAGCCGTTCGTGATTCATTCTCGTACAAACATTGAACTTTTGCTAGTGCATTCAATGAGGCCATACGATGCCGTTTTGGGCCCGAATAAAAACCAAATAGTTTCAAACGACGATTCTTTGCAGCCAATTTGTGACCATTATTCGCATGTGCTTTTGTCGATTTCTTTGTGTCGCTAATTTTACTATCGTTATCATTTTCACCTTGTTCAGTTTTACTGTTTGAAGCACTTCGATTATTACCTTTTACGTTCGTGGCCGTTGTTGATTTTGAATCGGTTTTTGTCGACGATGTCGCCGTTGCCGTTTTTGATGCTTCTTTTATAACATCGTGCCTGATTTGCTTCTTTAGTGGTAAAGTTTTTGATTTCTCGGCAGACTTTTTAAGGTTGTCATCTTTCCTTGTGGTACTCTCTTGATTTGTCATCGTCGCAATTGATGAGATTTTTTCACGCTTTTTCTTGTGAACGTATGGTACATCATCGCCGCTAAAGTTTGCATCATGAAATTCATACACATCATCCGATTTGTTGGTTGAGCTCGGTACTGTGCCAGTTTCTTTTTGGTTTGTTGACCTCTTTTTGGGTGTAGCAGTAGCTGAAGCAGTAACAGTAGTTTCAGCACTTGAAACCGATGGTTTTTTGAATCGACTTTTTGTGGTTGATTTGTTTGTTGAATTGCTTCCAGCGTTGACTAGTTTTGTACTTGTGTTAGAGCTTTTTGCATTTGCATCGGTTTTTTGTGCGTCATTTTTCGAGAGTTGGGCTTTGAGTTCAGTCAATGATAAATTGTCGTCATCAGATATTTCATCTGGTTTCGCTTGAGATTTATGCTCATCATTTTTCTTTTTATCATCTTGACACAGTTTTGGATCTTTTACTGTTGCCGTTGTTGTTGCTGTTGTCGTTTTGTGTTGTTGTTTTTTTGCTGTCAATTTCAATGATACAGATTTTGTTGTCGCCAACGGTTTGACTTTTTTCTTAGCTTTCAAATCGATTTTAATAATCTTGGATCCTTTTGCTTCGGTTTGTTCCGCATTGTTTGCTGTTGATTTTTTACCCACTTTTGGTTTTGCTTTACCTTTGCTGGCGGATTTATTTGCTTTATCATTTGATTTCTTTTCTGTTTCGCTTGCAACCGTAGCATTCGACGCCTTCATTTCGGTGACAGCTGCTTCTTTTTCCATTTTAATCTTTTCGCTGCTTTGTTTATTTTGATCGCAAATTTTATCATCAATTTTATTATCCTTTGTGAGTTTTTGTTTTGCTTTTGCATTCTTTGATATCGTTTTGATTGCGTCTTTGCTATCTTTCACTAAGTCGGAAGCTGATTCAATTACATCTAATTTCTTTTCATTTAAAACTTTTTTCTTGCTTGTTTTTGAAATTTTATTTTCTTTTTTTGCTGCTTTTATCGACGTGCCACTATTGTTGCTGTGCGAATGCGATCCTGTTGCATCGTTTCCTTTGTCTTTACTATCTTTGTATTGTTTAACCACTTCATTGATGGCATCGGCGATTGTATCAATAAGTGATTTCGATTCATCGACTTGTGTTTTAATTTCAATCCGTTTCTCGGTCAAAATGGCAGGTGCATCAACATTGACTTTGCTGCAAACCGTATCGTTTACTGCTTTTGCTTTTGGCTTTTGTGATTTATTTGAATTTTTATCACCATCCGTTTTCTTACATTCATTAGTATTTTTCTTCGTTTTCTCTTCATCCTGAGTCGATTTTATGGATTTTGCTTTTGTTGTTGGTGCTTTTGATTTGGCCGCAGTTTCTTTCTTCTTCGACGTTTTATTGTCGCTTTTATTTTCAGCCGATTTTAAAGCTGGTGTTTCGATTTTGATCGATTTATCAGTGTTTTGACTTTGTTTCGAATGATTTGGTCCAGGTGAGTTAACGGAAGGTGACCGATTGCCCGATGAATTGAATGTTGCCGATGCGGCACGTGCTTTGGTTTTTACATTTTCGCATATCGACGCTTTGATTACTTTGTCCGTGTCTGAATCCGAACCGGTTGAATCACGTGCTACCGTCACATTGCTATAGCCGCTCAGTTGAATATCTAAATTTTTCAATTCTTTGCTTGATCTAATGATTTTATCATCTTTTGTGGCCGCCGTTGCTGTTGCAACCGTGGCTGTTGTTGTTGTTGACGTGGCCGTTGGCTTCTTTTCGCCATTGATTGCCGGCTTGTTTGACTTCCGTTCGGGTTTTTGTTTTCTATTCGTGGTCGCTTTTTCTTTGGATGCACTTAATCCCATCGATGAGGATGCTTTGTTTATCGTACTGTTTTCAGTTTTATTTAAAGACTTTGATTTTTTGTCGGTACTTTCACAGTCATCTTTTGCCTTTGAATTGTTCGTCGATTTTTTCACTGTTAACTTTTTACTCGAAGCTGATTTTATGGATGACGGGATCGACCGCTGTTTGTTGGTAGTGTTTGGCTTCGCAGTTGGTTTTTTCACTTTGGGCTTAAGCGATTTTGCCAATGAACCACCAGCCAATCTTGTCTGGGGTTTTTTCGCATGCATTTTGTGCGAAGTTACTCAAAACTAAAAATCAAGAGAAGAAAAAAGAAGGGAAAAAAATGAGAATATAATTGATAAAGTTGTTCGCTAAACATTCAGAGAAACAAGAGAAAGAAATGTATTCATCAAATGTAAATCGCTGGGAGTCGGATTACAAAAAAATGAACAAGTTAAATCCGAATAAACACCCCCGCAATTATGAGTTTATACTTGTCAATTAACCTTGATAGCACAACTTGGTCATTAAATATATCAGTCTTTACCAGAAAATAAAATATTTTTCTGTATAAAATTGGTGAATTATGAACGACCATACGAAGTAGAGGAAAAAAGTTACAAAATTCGGCAGAAAAGGGAATACATAAGCGCCGTCAAATCTTGTTTTCAAATGACATTGAGCAATGTGACAAAATGTGTGTATAGTGTGTATATTCATTTTGACGATGGAGACGAAAAGTAGCAAAAAGTAGAAGACAATGTCACGTTTCACACCTTTGTCAACATAACATTTTGTTTATATGGTCGGCAAGAGATAGAGAATCAAATGAACGATACAGACAAAATAAACAAAAAAAAATATTTTCGGTGGTTTTTTTTCTCTTCTATTTCTTGTTGTCGATTCGTTCATTCTCTTTTAAACTTTCGATTCTCGATGAATTGGCAATTTTTCGAGCATCAAGACACAGTATAACAACACACCGTATCTGTGGATGGTCTTGAGAAATTCTAAATTCTAAATTGTGCGACATTCTAAGTGGATTACCACTCAACTGTCCGTATATTATTTAAAGTGTTTAAAATGCGGCGAGAGAATTTTGGATTGACTGCATGAAAGCCGAAAATGATGTCATCACCATTATACACACATTCGATAAACTCACACATTCGGTCAGCAAATTATGGGTGACAGCGGTTGTTGTCAATTCATGCATTTAAATTGCGAATCATACCTTAAAGGCAGACAAACTAGGCTCTTACAAAATGCCTTCGGTCACCTATGCATAATATCGTAATTTATAAACCCGTCGCTATCGTGTTAACCACATTGAATACACTGAAGGGCCACATAAGCTTCAGTAATTATACAAATTCCACACTAAAAACGACTAATTTATCACTAAATGATATGCAAGAGATAGTATTGATCAAATTCGTATTGCGAACCAATTTTGGCAGTGTGAATGCAAAATCCATTGTTTATGAAAACATCATCATCGCTTCACAGCATCAGTGTACGTGGATGTACGCATTTTGGAAAACCACGATGAAAGCACTTGGTGTTTTTGAGGGTATAGCATAATTTAAGTTGTAAGTCATGTTTACCACAATGACTTACGCATCCAAACAATTTGCAGCTTACTGACAAATTATATACAGAATAATGAAGTGACTGGATACGTTTTCATCATGGAAAAGCATGCAAATATGCGAGAAAATCATCATATTGAAAACATATAATACAGTATCCAACAATAAATACATTTGTGTCACATTGTATTACGAAAATCATAATATGGATTGAACTGCTCGAAGATGAGCACAGTAAACATATTGCCGATACTGCTGCTGCTGTTTGTTTGCTTGCACTTCAAAAATCCTTGTTCTATAGTCGAAATAAATGGCTATATGGATGAAACAAACATAACTATTGATTTTATGAATCCGTTTTAACGAAATATGTTTCAATGGCTCTCCGTGTGTGAGAATACATGAGTGTGAGTGAGTTGCTCGGTTTACTGGCGAGTGACGAACTGATGGAAAGCGTTATTTTGGTACATATTGATGCAGCTTAAATATATCAGCGATAATTCTACCATCATGACGAGGATTTAATGTGATATGATATGGTTTATCCACGGATATATGTACGCTTTTCCGATGTATCGTTGCCGTTGTTGTTTTCATCCAGTCCGTTTCGCATATACGCATGAATTGATTATCAGGTCGAGGTCATTCTCAATTTCGTGTACGGACATTTTGCAAAACATACAAAATAAATTGAAATGAATTTGAACAATGCACATCACTTGCACTGACACATCCAGTCAAACGTTTAGCATGTGTGCGCGTGTGGTCACACATGAATAAAACCAATTTATTTAAAGCATTCAACATAAATTGTTTATTCATTTATTTGGAATTTGGGTTAATTGAAGTATATGGATCAAGGTAGTTTATTCGGTATCAATCGACAAAATTGAAATGCACTATCAGTCATTGACACTTTGGTCGAAAATTATTATTTCATCGCGTTATTTATGGACAAAATTGCTTGCATGTCATTAGGTATATTGCTATTTAATGACAAACAATGTGTTTTGATAGAGATAACACAAATTTCAATTTGTCACGTATCCAAATGTATGATGTGAAGGATTAAACATAAATTTACCCTTTTTTCATTCCAAAACTTAGTATTTGATAGTAGACGTGTTTCATAAAAAATGATGACGACTATGTCGAATTCAGGTTTAGTCGGTCCCCTCTTTCAAAATGAAATCAAATCAAAAGGAAATTGATAAGCATGCGTCGTCTTTGATGGCACGTGTCATTGAAAAAAACGCGGAAGTTTGATTTAAATAAAAATAGACTTATGATATTTTATCAATCTCTTATTCACATCCTCTCAACAGGTTTCATTGCGAATGGCAGAAATACAGCCATGAATGATAGCTTTTATCAATTTCATATGTTTGAATAAATGTGATCAAAGCGCTTATCACATCTCACTTATCACATATATATTATTATCCATATACATCTCCGTTCTGTGTTTCACACTGCCATGAAATGATGAACTGTGAAGAATCATCACACAACACTGCGACAATGAAAGATGCGTCTGTATGTGCGCCTGTATCTGTATGACATGATGTGTTTGGCAAATTCAGTGTGCACATTCATTTCATCAGATAAGATCAAAGTAAACGAATGATAAATATGACTCTAGCTATATACTATGTTTTTTTGACGATTCACTTTGTTTCTTTGTTTTATCAGCTTTTTTCACGCTGATTTTTATTGCGTCGCCATTTTCATTAATTTTTTTTTTTCTTGTTTTCAATTTTATTGCAATAAATAAACAAGAACGGACGCGCGGGCGCGCAACTCAGTTGAATATTGAAAATGGATGATGTAAGTCAAAAGAGAAAAAAGGATTCGGGGTGCAAAACAAGTCATTTTATGACATCTGTTAAAAGGATTGTAAAAAAAATTGCAAACGAGTTAGAGAGAAAGTGTGAGAGATTGAAGGAGAGAATCTAATTTGATGCTTGTTCCGACAACGATTACAATATGCTTCACCGTATTGGTGAAATGATGTTTTACAGACAGAAAGTCAGTAAGCTTCGAGATGAAAATAAATCGATGATGATGAAAAAAGGAACGAGGCAAGTATTGGTTGGCTTGATGGGTTGGATGTGTCATTGCTTTCGTTTTAGCCCTTTTGATACTTGCAAAATCTTGTGTCGACGATTGCATGTCACGGGCGACACAATGTGAAGGCGACGAACAAAGTGGAAGTTACACCATGTACTTCTAAGTACTGCCACTTGAACATGGCACTCATAATATGTTCATGTCAATATGCCATACACTCATATATATGTTGTAGTCCTCCTGCCAAGATCAAGAGCGACGGCGAAAAAGTTGATGATGATGACGAAAAAGTATTACAAGATAGAGCGAATCCATTTTCGAAGCGGAAATTTCTAAAATTTTGTCGCGCAAACAACATGAATGATAAAATGGGAAAATAAAATTGATTCTACACTCGAAATTTCTAGCTTGCACTTGTCAATAGTGACAACAAAGTTCTCAAAATATGTGAAGACTCAAACTCGATTGACATCTTCATATTTTTTCTCAACTTGTTGTTTTGTTGGACTGAATCGATTCACTAATAATAAAATCAAACATGTAAGCTGGAACAAATTCACTTGAGCTCGATAGATCAAATTCAAATCAGATTTTTATGGATGATTGCATCATCTTTTGCTCGAGCTGCTCAATGAAGCAGAAACATTCTTTTGGGCACATTGAATGATGTGATTGGTTTTGACAAAGCCGTACGTCTACCATACACATAAGTATATGTACCATGAATGGCATTGAGCACATCGGAAAAAGAGTAGTAGAACCGAAATGAGTGTATTTTACGCATCACTACCGCAAGCAAACAAAACATTACACAATGTTCTTTTTTTATTGCGAACGTGTTTGTAAGAAGTTTACGTGCCGTATGTATCGTTTAATGTTCATTTCATGTGTTGCTGCTGATTTTAAGTCAAAAGTACAAACATTAAGCATTCATTCTCTTTCACTCTCGCACTTATTTCGCTTCAAATTTTCTCATGTGTACTCTCACTATGTTCATTGTTGTTAACACTTTTGTTTTGTTACTTTCGCATACATATGTAAAACTAAAAAAAAACCACTCAAACAATATCGCCACAACTATCGTGTTGCTGTGTATTGTATTCATACAACACTACTGCTTCATGTTTATTTCACAAGATACCAGAAAAATGAATGCCAAAATTGTACAAAGCGACAAAGTGTAGTCAACTTGACTGGACTAAATTATGTACACATTTATTTTGGCATAGTTTTATATGTCAATATGAACTGAGAATGTGCGACTGAATGATTGCCAATCGATTTATGTGCCTCTGTACTCTTCAAATATAATCTACCATATACATGAAACTGAAAAAATTGCGAGAGAGAAAAAAAAATGTGTATATATTTTTCAAATTGGATTCTTACTTCGTACTGTGTATGTATTGGGTGTGTATATTTATATAAATGAATTCCTTTCAGTTGAACATGAATAATATGTTGGTCGCCAACATTGTCATTACAAAAATAGTAGTCCGATGTGGATCCAAATCGGGAACGAATTGATTTCAAATGCACAGAACAGCCTCATCAATGTGAAACCGAATATAGTTTGAAGGCTGTTTCGTTTGCGGCAATTGGCAGTTCATCGAAACTTTTGCATTCTATATACGAAATTCATCGAACTTATTTACATTCAGTTTATAAATCATTCACACAAATTATTGGCCAAATGAAATTGTTTAACACGCTCATCATTTTCACCACATTTTAAACACAATTCCATTCATAATTCTCAACGTTTTATTGTCACTGAAATTTGAATTATTTATGTGCGTTTAGGCACAAAGTTTTGTATATTTTGTTCACAATAACATAATTGTTTTGCTCACTTTGGCCATTTGATTATTCATTCTGGTTATAAACACAGTTCTTGATTCGATGGAATGTTCGGATATATTTCGCGCGTTAAATACGTTAACATTTGTGGACACACACAAAAAATCAGGTTGTTTGCATATCAACAACTGAACTCACAATGAAAGTTTTCATACGATGAAGGGAAACGGCTATTTCTTACATTGATTTTGTATGTGAATTTTCAATGTGCCTTTCTGAACCGAACATGCGTATCAATGTTGTTCTCACTCTCTTTCACTTACTTGTGTGTGTGCTTATGTGTTATGTCTTAGTTGACTTGATGCACACACGATACAACACACTGCTGCTTCGGTTGATAAAATTGCTGGATAATGAGCTTGAAAGACGTTATCGCTATGCGTATTGCGTTTGATGTGCTGCTGTATTCTTCGAATGGAATATGGTGCCGACAAAAGGGATAATAATCATACGCAGAAAAGGCGCTATAATTTATCAGATGATTACAGTTAAAACGCGTCTGGCCGTCTTTATATATGTATGTATATTTTCTTCGTTTGTTTTATTTTATTTTTTTGTGTTTTGTGTCGGAAATAGTTGGGCATAAAATCTTTCGTAAGCGCCACTTTTCGCCTCCGTCTATATAAACATTAAATGATGAACTGCTGGTGGAAAATTGATTTTCATTGATAAATTCTCTATTAATTCACACTTAAGCTCAACTTTAACTGTCTACAAAACTGTTCTACTGGTCGTGAACCGTATTTCGGCAATAGTGCAAATGTCTGTTCAGTTTTGTTGCCATTCACCATTTACATTATGTAAAATTGTTTCAATGTTATCAAACATATTGCACACACACCGTGCACGTAGCAGTAGCAGTAGCATCTCACGTATGCACGCACTATTTCATGCTCTCACTTGCATACCATCCAATAGAACGTCAGCACTTTTCACATACTGTGTACACGAAATATGAAACACTTTTCTTATCAGAATATCGAATGCTCTGTTTGCATCGACTTTCTTCTTTCGTCCAACACAAAATAATCCGTTTTTATTCGTCTATTTAAATCGAAATCATAGATTTAACTCAATCACTGTCTCTATTGATTGTTTAAACAATTTTTTATAAAACTTTCACATAAATTCTCTCACAATTATTGAAAAATATTACGAATACAATCGAGAAAATGATGATGGCGCGCCCTACGTTTTTTTCGTTTCTCATTTGACTGCTGTTGTTCAGTTGAGTTTTAATGAAGAAAAAAAACTTCAACTTCGATATATTACCACCGAGAGAGCAAGAACGAGTCCAACAAACGCTATGTGTATGGAATGGAACGAGAAAAGACGAAAAACAGACAGCATGCACAGTTGTGTATGTAATATGGATTGTGTACAGAATGTGTACTAACTCAGAGCGAGAGAGCAGCGAGTGAATTTGAAACCCATTGAACGAATTCAATACATCGAAAAGGTTCATTGTGCTGCTTATGAATGCGGGCGATGCGCGCAACAGAGAAAAAGATAAACATATACACGCACACATACACACGCAATACGCGAAGGAGAAATGTTTTGGCAGTCACGATATGAATGCACGCAAATGAGATAAAAACTATTGCTGTCAGTTTCTTTTTTTTTCATTCATTGGTATTGGTGCAAATACACGCTTGGTGTGCCTCTGTTGTATATCGAGAATATATCCAAAACGCAATGCATTCGATGTGAACGCGAGTATACACAAAACATGTAATGAGAAATGCAATACGCATGACAGCGAAACATTCACACACATACACATGCACATACAACATTTATCGCATGTAGTAAACACACAGCATTACTGTATGATCTGAATAGAACATTGATGCGATGCGGTCGCGATTCAAATCATCATGTATAACAATCGTATTCAAAATTGTTCATTTTTCCTCATTTCAAATGATTGCATTGAAAACACGCTTCTGCGCACTGCGTTACATTTTCATTGGAAATCATCAATCGAAATTCTACTAAAACATGTGGGTGCATGGCAAACAATCATTTCGTCGCCTCTCATCAAATTCGGTTTCAATCAAAACGGAAGCGCCTTTGAAGAATATGAATTGAATGTAACAACATATTATTTTCGTAGAAAATGATTTGTGGGCTGGATCCTTAATTAACCGTCAGATTCATAAATGATGGTACACATTTTTGAACTAAATGCCATATAGATTGAAGAATTTTATTTGATTGAATTTTAGATATCTCTGGAGGCCTCATAAATTAGCATATATTCAATTTATATCGACCGTATATTATATTCATCGTGCAACTATCCACACACAGAGGGCTCTCATTCGGATTCACTGAACACTTATGGTTGGCGTCTCCACATTTATGCTTCGCGATATGTGAGTGCGCGCCGAAGTGATGGAAATAGATTTTATCTCTTAATTATGTGAATATTGATAATAACAAAATTGCAATTAAATTTACGCGTGTGGCAATCAAAATATCTTAATTTAGCCGATTCGTCATTCAGTAAATTTTTCGATACGATGGGTATTCATTGAATGATTATGAATTTCATTCAGAACAAAAAGTTGTATAAGTAGATTACTTAAGGGCTTTTAATTTCGAAAGATAAGTTCAGCTCCAATTTAGTAATCAAAATAATTACTACATTTTACGTTTTTCAATATCGATTATATAATCTATCGAAATAACTTTAATAATTTTTAAAGGCGGCGAGTGTATGGATCGGATCGAACGTATTTGAATTCTTGATAATTAATCAATTTACATCGTGTTCAAAGGAAACGTTGAATTAACAATGGAATTGATGAAGAAGTGAAAAAAAAATTTCATGCGTTATTATTCAGCAATTCGTTCGTTGCAGATATTTATCGCATAAATGTCGAATCAAGGTCGTTAAATTCATATTCAGGCTTAACAAGTTTGAAGCTGTCAAAAGGCAATGGAACAGAACCGTATAGTTGCTTATGAAGTCATTCGTGATGACGACGCTTTGGATAAAATTACAAGCTCAAACTCTTCATTCATACATTCGAAATGGTTTTTGTGTTATTTATGTTTGTTTTGATAGTAATATTGGGAGTATTTTCTTTGTTTGGAATCGTATGTCACGCATTTTGATCGCATTTTATTTTTGAAAAAATGTGTATAACTTAATACATTGTTTATTAAATAGATCCAAATTTAACGCCCATCTCATCAGGTTTGAATGCTTGTCCATGCTGGTTTTTTGTCCATTCTTTTCATCCATTTCTCTCAGACGTAATAAACATATATCGCAAACATCTGTTAAGGAACGAATCACCGAATTACTGCGATCATTTCGATTTATCAATAATTGTACGTTATTAAATATAATAATATTTGGAGCCGTGCTTGTTTCAACGACACAAGGCTATCCAATTTTATAACTGTGAAACCTTCAGCATAAGCGCTTCATTTATTGTTAAACTGACAAAAAAGAATGAATACTATTTATAAACTGCGCCGAACACGATTTAATTGAAATCACATTCATTCATTCGTCGGTGCACGCAACTCAACTTGTTCAATAATCGATAAAAATCATTTCATTCTGTACAATCACAATGACCTCAACATAAATCGAGTGAAGAGCAAAAAAAACTGGCAAGGAAAAAAATTAAAGAAAAAAAAAATTGTAGCAACTTGCATACAAAGCGGGTTCCATTCAATGTGTTTAGCTGAAAAAAGGCGATTGCGACAACAGAAAAGTGCATTCAGCCGCAAGCTCATCGCCCCCTTTACATTTATTATTAACTTTATCGATACATTAACGCCGCGATGATAATATCAAATGTTGACCGCACACACGGAGGAAATACAAAATTACAAAACATGTCTCTTTAAATGGAAATCATTTTCAAGATTGATGTGGTCATTCAACGTTTACAATATATTCAAGAAAGGCCGGCATTTACAATGATTTATTTTAAATGTGTTTGGTCATTTGCATGATTTTCTAGATTAAAAGTTCTATTCATAGACGTAGAGAAAACATGAATAAATAATAAAAGAGACGAAATGAATTTATAATGTGAGAACCAAGCCCCTTTGTTGAAGTGTTCATCAGATAAAAAAAGAGTCGTTATTAAAGATATCACACTCTTTCGTTCTTATACCTTTCGCTTGATGTTTTTACATTCGGGCACATTTTCATTCAAAAATAAAATTTACCTAAATTAAATGTAAGTTTTTTTTCTTTTAAATTAGCAAATTCCCATCGGAATCAGTGAAGTCAAACCGCAAATAGAAACTTCATTTGCTATTATTTTGCATTCCAATCCCAAATGCACACACAGTCACATTCAATGAACTAATGATTCGTTTTTATTGGCTGTGAATATTTTACGATCGTATTTTTTGTGTTTGATAAATGATTTCACATTCAATGCCTATATGCCAATGGGATATTGCGCACAGCATTTCCACACAGAATACATTTAATTGCGGTATACGCGACAATCATGGTGTATCAACAGCACAGAGATTGCGGTTTTCAAACAGGTAATATAATGTAGTTAAAACATAAATTACGTATATATTTTCGATTCACCATGTTTGTGCATCGAAATTGCATTGATGTTATGCAACGAAAACAAGTAAATGCTTCGAATACGAATTGGAATTTATTTGGTATTGACAATTGCACATTTTGTTATAGCACAAAATAAATGGGGTTACTTTGCGGTGTTGTGTGCATCAATGTCGTAATTCTCTTGACTATTTGTGCATCGAATAATGTGCGCGCCGCCGCACTCATTTTAAGCTAATCCAAATCAACCGTTAGATATTTGATTGGCGAATTCCGTTTTTTCACTGGGTAAAAAACTCACGACCAGAGATAGAACCGTACACAGGCTGGAGATCACTGAAGACAACGCTTTTTTGTGTTGCTGTTGCGATTGAGTTAACTGCAAAATGTGATTATTTTGAAATTGGCAAAAGTGCGGCAGCTCAGGTTGCTATATTTTTTTGCAAATCATTTAAAATAAAAAGATTTCTGTTTTCAAACATTCAATTCAAATAATCCGGTCATTGATTCAATAAATTGCCACTTTTTTCCACACACACAAGAAGGAAGAGTGTGCTCAATATAAGTGCGTTTAATGATTAAACATAAAAAGAGAAAGAAATTGAAACATTGCCCATTTCCGAAGAGAAATTAAGCATGTGAAAATCAAAAAGATTGGGCATTATCATCACTTCACGATCTTTAATTAACAAATAAATAATTAAATATAATTTCACTCTAGATTGGGAATAATAAAAAAAGATCCAACGCTAGCGACTATTAGCAAGGAAAGCGATAAAATGAGTGAGAAAATTGTAAATGTTTTTTCGGAATTCTAAACCATAAAAACAATGGTTTTGTTCCATTCATTTGTGTGCTGTCGCCGATACGACCAATTGTCGGTTGACCTACAAAATCAATAAAAGCGAAACGTGCATTGTGAAAATCAAAAGCTACAAATGTGAAGAGCTGTCACGAATGTCATTTGAAAACAATTAGAGAGTAAAACAGATGACCTGCACCAAACGCTGTGCGATTTATGTATTTAGCTTTCAAGTCACATTCACATAAACAATGGCACACGTTATTGATTTACGTTAGAGTAGCAGCGAAGAAGCAAAAAAACTATCGCATGGAAAGTACATGCTTGTGAGTTAGCGATCGTTAACAGTGATATAAATCCATTATGATTTACTCTATAATAAATAATCAGTTCATCCGTAAATGGGATAGTTGCCCATTGTCATAAAAACCACGTGATGATGACGGCAACGACGATTTCTTTCGTTGTCACATTCGCTTCCATCAACAATTTATTGTACCTCAAAAATCGAATAGCAGAAGCAACAACACCAATCCTAATAATAATAATTAGTTTCGAGTTTCTTTTCAGCACTTTGTAAAAGTGAAATACTCACTATGACGACCTTATTTTAATAGAATCGCATATGTGGAGATTGATTAATTTATGGATTAGCGCCTACTTCAAAAACTGTGTTTTTAGATCCAATTCGCGATGCAATTGGTAATAATTACTATTTTAGTGGCGATAATTGTTTTATGGAATCAGCTGTATGCTCCACTGTTTTGTTGAAATCATTTCTGGGTGGTTTGTTGGTTTTTCTCATTTTCAACAGCAACCGCAGTAACATCGGTGTAAATGAATTACAATGCATTTTTGAAAATGCATTTTCGACCGCATGGAGTGTTTGCTTCACAAACAGATTGTAACAAACCACAATCAGAAAAAACCAGTAACAAATCTGGATTTCGTACGCAATTCCGTAACTATTCATTATCTGAGTGTAATTTAATTATGCGCACGATATGTGTGAACGCTTACGCGTGATGTTTTCCTCTAATTGTGATTTTCGACGAAAAGTGAGAAAATAGACTATGCACACCGGCCGATAGATCTGGTATATCATAACGCACGTATACGCTGTATTTAATTTAAAGAGAGTGAGATAGATTAAAAGAAAATGATTTCAGTTGTTTAACAAATTTACAAACAACATTTAATACGCACCAAACCCATAAAAATGCAAACGAACGATTCAATGAACAACGGAAACAAATTTAACATGTGATAAGATAAGATACTAGTTTTTTTCTTCTGCATTTTCTTCTTACTTTGTTTCATTCATTTATCTAAAAATATTGTTAATCAGAGCTAATGTTGCACAACATTTGAGTAAAACAATTGTGATCAATTTACCAAAAAAAAATGGGAGAGAAATGTAGCAGAAAAAGTTTGACTTCGGTGTGAAATTGATACATTTAATAACTTTCAAATCGAAATTCGAGGCGAAAAATATCACCGACAATTTAATTTTTGAAATCAAGTAAAAATAATCGATTTGAATGTTAACACCTCTTACATTCTTAATAAAAATCGAAAGTGTTCTACTTTCATCGATTGCATTGTTTAGATAAATATGCAACTAAATACTATGGTCGGCACGTAGATTCAATTTATTTATAATTAATTGGTATTCTTGACATGCATTGTGTTGATAGGCTCCATTTATAATGTATGTTTCTCCATCAAGTTATGAATGAATGCAATTGGCATAGAAAACTAAAGATGCCAAGAAAAAGTGTCAATGTAACAAACTGAAAAATAAAAGTAGAACTTTACAGAGGCAACGATGTGAGATGTAACGCATTTCGCGTTCTCATTGCACGAACGGAGAAAGAAAGAAGCATATAATATAAAAAAAAGAAACCACTGGCTTCGATAGACCTCGTCTCTTTATGAATATTTATATCTAAAATTGCATGCAGTGTTCAGTTCTACTTGGCGTACGTCCGTTGCTGACTGTACACACAGAAGATTTCGTTGAGAATATATTTCATCTGTAGGCCAGTTTTTGTTCAGGCAACAGCACTCACTGTACATCTCTTCAAACGAATGAATCGTCTCAACACGGTCTCAATTCGCAACCAATGTAGTGCAGTTGTTTATGCGACCATATCGTTTGTAACAAATTCGTTAACCACAATATTTAACGAGAATCGTTTTTTTCTCTTAGAAAAGTTCACATAGAAAACAGTAGAAAAAAATGGCAAAATTAAAACCTGGTAAAGTTTTTGAGTTTTCAGGCAGTAGTTCATTCCTTTAAACTTGCATGAACATGGTTTTGGTTTTTGGTCGGTGAAAAAGTCAAATCCGTTTGGATACCAACATGACTAATCCAGTACATGTGGCATTTCAGTTGGAGTTCAAAAACATCTCATAATTTGAGAAAAGGCTTGGTCAAAACACGGTATGTAGCTATTGTTTTTTTGTTTTTGGTGTGGTATAAATGCAAATATTTGTATTTTATACGGTCAAATCACCGAATATGGATAACGGCTTAACTTTCTCTTCGGGCCAAATACATGCGCGTATTCAGTGTATCGCTTACTCGTATTTTGCCACCGCTTTATCCAGCATTGTAAACAAAGCACACATTTTTTTTCTTCGATAATCTCTGGTTGATACGAATACGTGTATATATGTGCTTTGGTTGCTTTTTTACCAGACGAAAAAAAAAAAATATGAACAAACACAGATTACAAAAAAATCTACGACACTCGAAGTCGTAAACATTTGCTTACTGTGCACTCTTTCGTGTTTCTAGTATAGTTCGTCGTGTTCAATAAACAATGACTCAATGCATCGCCTTTTGCATTGTGCGCGCCTTTTTTTTCTTTTTGAACAACAAAAAATGCCATTTGAATACGAACGAACAAAAGAGAAGGCATCGAATAAAAGCAAGAAACAAGCAATCAGTTTTAAGTGGCCACTGGTATTGGCACGAACGAATAAAACAAAAACAACGCATATACTAACCGAGCTCAGTTTGAGCGTACGTGATTTTGTTATTAATTTTCAATCACATTCTGGCTATAGCTGGCATTGGAAATGTGTTTCGATGATGGTAACTTATTGGAAGTATGTGTGCGCAAAGCAAAACAATAATTATGATCAGCAAATAATAAACACAGAGGCGATTGTGTTGATGTGACATAGCCAGGCGTATGAATTTATTTTAAAACTGAAAACTGGATCGCACGTCAGCGATATAATTAATTCACGATATCAATTCAAACGTTGAGTGTGTGTATGAGGGGAACCATTGCGTATGTATACGTGAAATTAAGAAAATAAAAGCTACTATTCCGGTGCGTCAAGTTCGAGTTTTGATCTTTCGCCAACAACATTTCATCAGATTAAAGAAAAAACACGTATCTCAGCTTTTATCTCGTTGTAGTCCTTGAAATCTATAGCAGGAACCTATAAAATGTCTATCGGTCAAAGTATGAATGATAAAAACACTCGGCAAAAATGTTAACACAGACACTGATTAGTTTGAAAAAATCGATGTCCATTACTGATTTGCCTATTAATGACATACAATTTTTGTCACAATCGAACTGTTGATAAGCCAATCGTTGTGATATATTTATTCATCATGGTTATTATGCAGATCAAATCTTATTTGCAAAACCAATCGAATCCCTATAATTTTATTGCTTATTTATTCGGCGAGAAATCGACTGAAAAATATTGTGTTGATAGCTGCTATTGTATTGGGTAGCACATAAGACATTAACTATTTTATCGTGTGGATAAAACAAGCACTTAACCTTAGTGGTTCCAAAAGCTAAATATACACTTCAAATGAATTCACACATTTCATAAGTGTGCGTGTGTGCGTGTGAGTGGAATGAAAACCTTTGACGAAGCATAGGTGTTTTTTTGCCTAGACAGTATATATCTAAATTTTAAATGAAACGCAATCATGCTGAACCAAAAACCCAATCAAATCATATTTCATTTGTTTTTATTTTCAGTTTAACGACAATGTCTTGATTGATTTTTATGAATTTTCAATAAGCACAAATAATGTCGATGCTTTTATCCAAGGTTTTTTGCTTCTCGCCAATTAGAAAATAGTAAACAACTGCTAAGGTCTATTCGAAAAGGAAGCAAAAAAAAAGAGAGAATTATCTGTGTCAATCGCCAGATTAGATCTCATTTGATTTTAAGCAACAACAAAAAAAAAAAACACGAAACTTTCGAAACATATAGGTAGGCGATCGTTCTTCAGGTATTTTCTTTTCAATTCTCGATTCTGATTAAGTGTGTGTACCTCCTCCAGTTTTGAATCGTTGATGAGATGCATTCAAATTCCATTTTATTTATTTTGAACTCGACGTCAGAGAGTTGATGAATTTTGTGATTCTATTTGTCTGACATCGAAATGCCATTGAAAAGGTTCATTTTATAGTTTAGTGTAAGTAGTGCTGGTGAAAGATTCGAAATCGAATGGTAACGCACTCACATACATCGTTCATCAGTCGGCTATGCTCAAGTTGGTTTAATCAAAAAAAAGAAACATACAAAAGAAGAAACCCGCAGTTGCTGTCGTCATTTTAACGTTTGCATATGCTTCGAAGGTATGAAACTTGTTTCTCTGCACTCGATTCAGTGCATCTGCGTTTATGTTTCTGCTGTTTTTTTTGCTTTTTCCAATCTATCGTATTAAGTGTTTTCACCACATCTTTCATAGGCGAACACAAAAAAATGACGAACGTGACAAACACCAAACTCGGCGATCATCACCATTATCATAATGTTTAGTTGCAAAGTGAATGTGTGCAGTGTGCACAGTGCACCTTTTCGATGCATCGAATGCAATTTCAGATGGGCTCTCTGGTAATTGTGTAATTTAAATAGATACCTATATGAAAGCATTTTATCTATCAGCCATCGTGCAAAAAGCATCACAGCGACGTGTGCACACAGACCTATCATTGTTAGTTGATAAGCGAACCGCGCGAAATTTTTTGGTATGGTGTCTTTCGTGAGCGTTAAACAAATTTCTTTTCTCTTCTTTGATCGGTTTATTCGTTATATTTATAAAAAAAAATATATTATTGAACATAAAATGTGAATCGCAGCATAGCGAAGAAGCAGCTGCACGTTGCCTGCCACAAAAATACAGCAAAAAAGAGAGGAATAGAAAAATAAGGCATACAACACAGCAACAGTGCTGTGCATGCACAAATACACCGTACATTTTACGATGAAAATAGCCCAAAGTATCGTACCTTTCTCGTACCAAGTCGATTGAGTGGCATTTACATTGCCGAAGCAACAAAAACAACCGAGCAGCACCGATAAACTGAAGAAAAATAAAACCAACCAAACCGAGAAGATTGTTAAGAAATTCAAAGTACGAGCCAGCTTGAGTTTGATACCGAAATCACTATGTGTATGGGTGTGTTATTGTTATTGTTGAATGCGATGAAGTGTATGCCATTTGCTGGAATGGTGAGCACACTGCATTGAGAGTGAGTGAAAGAGAGGCCCAACAAAGTCGACAATCGACTTTTATGAACAGCACAAAACGAGTTAGTTATAAAAATATGCTCATGGCGAACGGACCGATAAACGCTGTGTCGTGAAACGCTTTGTCTCGCGTCTCGTGTAATATTTTTCTTCTGCTTTTTTTCATTCAACGAAAAGAAACAGATCGTTTGTGTTATTTGTTAGTGTGAGCTTGAGTTTTTTTTATATATATATATTTTCTCTATATGTACGCTTGTGCTTTCTTCAATGGAAAGATCATTCGGTTGAATACTGTGCCAACAAGTGAATTTAACAAGACTTTTGTTATCGGGTCGCCGCTATCGTCATACGAGATCAAACGGTGAAATTTCATTCAGATAAATTACTGAAATTATTGCGGTGAAAACAGGGTGTTGTCATACCGACACTGTAATCATCATCAGAGTGCACGTATATGCAATTCAATTGCACTCACTGATGGACTATTTTGTGAAATAAAGGAGAAAAAAAGTTTTGTTGCTAAAGTGCTTTTTTATTGTGTGGGGTGCTAAATAAATTCATTGACACGTCGAAAATAGGTATCTTCAGAAAACAAATAATTACAAAGTGACTGTTGTTGAAGCGAAGACAAAATTGTTTATTTTAAATCGTTGAATATTGCGGCAGGCACGAAGTAAACAGAAAATGAACTAATTATATTGCTGACTGAGTGTTAAATAAATACATATTTTTTTGGGTGCAGTCATTTTTATGGCAACACACAAATGAGTTCACTTATCGCCGAATACGCCAAGTTTTGATGTCATACTCAAATAAACCCATCATCTCGTCGTCTCTCTTATTTACCTATTTGTGAAAAGAAGACGCAACCAATTTTGGTATTTGGCAAATGTTAATTTGAAAAACATGCTTATTTCTTCACATTCACGCGCTGCGAATGCTTAATATGTCGATTTAAATAAATAAAAACGAATATTGAATGCTAAATAGTGACTTAGTGTGGATTCTAGAAGAACTGAACGCCATAGAAGAATGTGGTGAAAAGTGTACGCCATTAAAGAACAAAAGTTTATTGTGAATGTGAATTTTGGCCGCTTATTTGCTCATCATTAAAATTCTATTTTGGATGTGTACATTTCAGCCGCCTTTCAAAACGGACATAAATAATATTGAATTTGTGCGCATTTACGATCGTGCGAAGGTTGAAACAGTAATGACATTTAACGGTGATCACAAACCAATCGAAACAAACATTTGAACGTATAACGTTTCAAAACACATTTGTTGGATTTGAGTTGGCAGTGGCGCATTTTTCGTCTATATGGGCATTTGATTCATTTTGTATTGAGTATAAGGTGTAATTGCGGAGTTTAGTTTATTTGGATGCTTGTGCCTTCAATTACGCAGCAATCTCCAACTATAATTGGCACGATTTTTTTCTATTTCATTTGGAGTCATACCTTTTGGATAATTGCATACACATCACAGATTTAATCGTAAGTTCATTGCACCTTGCAATAAAATTCACGCAATAACGGTTCGATGAATTGTCAATAACAAAAAAAAAGCATTTCAGTCAGTGTTATATCATCTCTATCGAAAAATCGTTATCCAATATCGTCACCAAATTTGCGGAACAAAAGGACACATTTTATGAATGAACACCATAATTAGTTGAATTAATTCGATTCATTAGCAAAAGATTCCATCGATTTTGGCTCAATCAATGCGATTGGCAATTAATTAAGTTTTTTTTTTTTCAACAAAAACAAAAAAACGTACGGAATTCAAGAATGATAACACTTTACCGTTTTTTGTATCTCGCAATCTCTTGCGATATTATGTACGATTTCGCATTCAGTATAAGGCTTAACGGTTTAAACATTTTTGGAGTTTATTCAATGGATAAGACTAACAAAAGCTATTAGCATGATTAAAGCATACACAAAATCGATTCCATGTGACCTATTAAACATTGGTTCAGCTACCGAGATGGCTGTGTTTTTACGTTTTCTTTGTCTTTGATTATCGTTGAATAAACAAATTTTTTTCTGCAATTTGCCTTTGAATTAGAGCTCGAATTCACTTTGAACAACAACACAAAATCAACTTCCAATTACAATTTGATTATATGTCTTTTGTGTGTGCATTTTACCGATGAAAAATACAATGACAACTCTTCAATTCACGACGATTTGTGTATTTTACAAAGCACACATTTTCTCCATTGACGACTTGCTCTTTTTTTTCCATAACGCGATTTCTCTTTTCGAATGTCGATTTACCTCAATCGACTCAATCTATAGTCATACGAGATCATTTGGTCGTAAATTTTGGTTTCGCTGTGGTTTTGTTGTCTTCTATCGATGCAATGATGAATATGTTATGAAAATTCTTTTGTTTTCCGTAATAATATGAAATGCGCATAGTAATTACGAACGGAAGACAGACCATCTTCGACTATTCACTGAAGACGTCCAATTTTAACGAACGTAAGCGTAAAATGGATTAGATTTTAATCGTGCTTCAACATGATGACCACACATGCGATTTAGGCAGTTGTTGTTGGTGGTGACGACGGCGATAGTAGCGGCAGCGTTTTGTTTGTTTTGTTCGATGTCATGATAATTAATTTCCGCATTCCCTTTCGTTTTCATTCATTAATGAATTGGTTTTCCGTGTGTCGGTTCGTCTGATAGGCCATTTTATCTATTTCTGTTTATCACTATTAATAAAATCAATTAATTCAAGAGTGAGAGATAGAGAGAGAGAGAGAGAGAGAAAAAGAAAGAAAAGAGAAAATTGAGAAATTCCCATAAAGCGCATAGCGTTCGAAATTCAAATGAATTCGGAAAACATTTATGCTTATAAGCAAAATCAAATCGAATTAATTCAATTTTCATCGATGTAATTGATCAATTGCAAATGAAGATCGATAATTGCGGAAAAGTTTTTTCTTTCTTGTAGTTCTTCCCAGATTTTTTTTTCAGTTCATTTAGTGTCTGTAGATTTTCTGGGCGTTTTCTTCCGAGTAGAGAAAAAACCACAGTAACCACACAAACGTATGTGCAATATGGTATCGCTTTTGGAATTGGAAAAGTTTCACTCGACCATAGTTGTGGGTTAGAAAATGCGGTACAGTATCAAATCGAATAAATCGCCGGCCAATGCATGTAATCGACGAATAAACGAAGAAAGTTTCCATTCGTTCATATACCAAGTTTATCGATTCGCAAATGATTTTCTGTAAATATACATCTCTGAAGCAATAGCGTTTAGCAAAATGGCTGGAATATTTATGGTATTTCTTCCTACACATTCGCCGAATAAAAAAAGCGGCTCTAGTTTTGAACACGCGGGGAATATGTTGATTTAAATGCGCACGAGATTGGCATTAAATGTAGTGTACGATTGTGCATTGCATTTATACGGACGCTAGCAGCACAAAACATTCCAGTTGGCATGTTAAGTGAGTGCTGATGCAAAAGAAATCTGCATCATGAGTCGAAAGTTGCATACCAACAATGTAAAAGGTGACTGGAGTTTCGCTGAACACGAAATTCCATAATCGAACGAATATTGTGCATATTTACGTGTATGGAAATAAAAATATTCACTCTCGACATCTTAAAACTGTGTCACTTGAAACACTGAAATGCCAACACGAACACTGCATATATACAGACCAAGCCAGTGAGAAAAATCTTTTCGTTTTTATTTTTTTTGAGATCGTAATTTAAAAATGTAAAAGAAACCATATCGCGAAGTGGGAAAATGTTGAAAACGAAAACAATTAACCAATAGCCAAGATAGAACAAGAAAACCGTCATGCCGTCGCGTTCATTTTCACTTCAAAGAAAAAGCGAATCTCGGTTTCTTTGAAAAGTTCTTAGTTCAAAGAATGCAAAAGTGTTATTTGCCAAAAATTTCACGCATCGTTGCACATTTAGCAAAGATTATTAGTCGAGAGAGGACTTGGCAACTAATTTAATCTTTCAAAATACGATATCCACGCCTCAATTTCGAATACACACATCTTTCATGTGCTAACTAAGACAATGATTTTTTGTTTCCCTTTCGGAAACGAGATAATTATCGCTTTCTGTTGTTGTTGTTGCTTTATTTTAAGGCAGTTTCACATAAAATACACTACAATTCGATTGTTGGCCAAAGCTCGAATGCATAACACAGGAGAAGAAAGAAAAACAAAATCAATTGAAATCAACAGAACGAAACCGGTATAATTATCTCCAAGCGTAATTACAATGATTTCGATTCTTTCGCCGCAGTGCTCATTTCAACATTATGATCGGAATAATGGCACTAATCACACACACAAACACAAACACACACACACACATCGATTGTCTTGGCCAGCAGCAAATTGATCCAGCTTTTAAATTGCGTCTTTACCTTTTCAAATGCTATTAGAACAAATCTAAAAAAAATGACGGTGTGTTAGCAAACAATAGCATTCGAAAATATAAAAAAATAGTGACAACTAAATCATTTATGCTCATTATTTCAAGAATTTATTTCTTTGTTTATTTGAAATAAAATAAATAAAAACATTGTCATTCGAAAAGAATAGACTGTTTAACATATTTTCTTAGTCAACAATAAATTTCGCCGGCGGTTTCACGTCAAACTGATTTCGTGTTGATGATTTCATTCTTATTGGACCAGAACGCATACAAAAACACACCAAAAGGGGGGATTAGTTCGCAAAATATTTTACTCGCATTTAAGAGTACATTTGTAAATGGAAGAAATGAAAAATGAAGTTCAAGGCACTATAAATCATTTTCGGAAGACACATTTGGCATTTTTTCGTCTATGTCTCTGCTGTTCTCTCTTTCAATAAAACCACACACAAATCGCTTGGTCATACTTTTTGGAATATCAAATGAACAAAATTTAATTTGAAAGTAATGTGCTGTGTTTTCGCGCATGAAATTCTTTGGAAATAAGAAAAAATATATACTACCCATCTCAAGCCATTAAATCCACCATTAACCTGCGAAGAATTTCCTCGCATGAATTCTCTTCGATAGAATGACGCCGAAGTATTATGACTAATTGACATAGATCAGACAGAGAGTTTATAAAACGATTGATATTGAAGGATGTTTGAGGTCATTTGGCCAATCAATTTCAGTGCGATGAGATTTCGTGTGAGATTTCTACGAAATAGCTTCAATTACAATGAAACACAATTGAATGAAGATGTGCTCCAAATTGCTTCAATTACTACGCATTCTCATGATGACTCGAAATAATCTCTAATGATCGCTCTTGGCATTTGTGAGCTATGGTTGAATTGGGGCAATTCGCTGAACATAAAATGCCAACTTGAATTTTTCGCTTTTGAAACATGGTATTTCTTTTTCGACATGTTTGAGTTACGCCTTTGATATTCATTGAATATCCAAGTTCAATGGATGTATATTTCATCAATAGATTGCGCCTTTTCACACATTTCTAGTGTTGCAAGGTGTGTAACGGGCATTCATTAAGACGAAAAACCCATGTATTTCTGGTACTTCAAAAGTGCGAGAGAAAAAAATCATTCAAATAAGAGATGCCTTTTTTGCAATTAATCGTTGAAAATTATACCCCGATCAATGTACGGATGAATAAATGACGTGAGGATGAAAGGAATTTGACAAAATTGCGCACATTCAAAAGCAAATGAATATACATCGTCGGTGTTATTTCTTTGCATTCAAAACGGAAATTTGTTATAGAGGCGGAATGAAATACACAAAAAGAATAATTGCCGTAATCACTAGGTTTTATACCATGCGAAGCACATACCCAAGCCGCAAAAAGATTGTTTACCGCCGTGAATTACAAAATTTCATTTCGTTTTAATTTTTCGTTCATGTTAATCAGTGAGATAAATTTCGGAGAAAAAAAAGTGGCAAATTTGAATGTTGCTTTTCAAATTCCAAATGTTTGAATTGTTAAAATATTGCAATTTAATTAAGCCATAAGTGTACATACTTTTTTCTTCATTGATTTGATATGTTTTTTTTTTTCAATTTGAAATGGCTTGGTGCTGTTTTGCGTAAAAAATGCACATAATTCAAGTACCTTTACCTAACTGCTCTTTAACATGCGAAGGAGGCCTCCGCATATTTACGTCTGCACATGCATGTCGGCTTGAATGACTGGCAAACTTATAAAACGGCGACTGTTTCATAACCATACATGCCATATGTGCTGCAAGAACCGAAACCAAATTAAGTTCATTTACACTTGTTGATGTTGAGATAAATGCGCTGATTTGGCTAAGCAACTTAATGCGCAATTAAGTGGTTTTAAGTTCGATTTTAAAAGATTGACAGTGTTTCGATTTTAATCTCATTCCATTCGAAAAAAAAATCGACGATTTTCATCCGGTAATTGCAATTATGGTCTCTCGCTTGCGTAATTTCAAATCGTGCTTTTGAATCTCATAAAAAATTGCAGCGTGCTTTTATTTCGTAGTTTCTATAGCATTTATTAATGTTTGATTGATCTTATTGAATAATAAACTATGCCATTTACATTAGTTTGTCACCATTTTTTATATCCATACCTTCTGCTGATTGCCATTTGATGTTTTTTCTCCTCCAATTTTCAAATCGAACATATTTGCGTGTTTACAGCATTCACGATAGTATGCTTTTCAACTAATTGGAGATGATGTTTCGTGACCAAAAAAAAAACTCTCACCTGCCAATTGAGCGTATATTTCCTAGTCGCGTGCAATTGGTTTTCCATCAATGGAATACATTTCAAATAAAAGAAATAGAAAATACTTTCATTGAAAGATACCAATTCATTTCTACTGTCAAAATGAAATAAAATCAAAACAATATTTTATTAAAATACCAATTCAACAATTCCTTTTGTTCGTATTGATAGACTGGAAATGTTCAGATGTCTCGTGACCGAAAAAGAAGCGAAAGAAATGCGAGTTAAGTGAAAGAAAATAAAAACAAAAATTTTACAAACTCAACTAAGCGTAAATATTACCTGAATCAAGAAGCTTATGAGTACGATTTTTAATTGATATACTTTTTTTTATTTCACCAACACTGGTGTGCCAGTCTCGTGCACACTTTCATAATTCAACGTCATTGTTATCGCCTATTGCACCGGTGCTAATTTCACTCGTTTTGCATTTGTTGCAATTTCCAAAGAAAGAAGAAAAAACAACAATAAAACAGTCGAGTTCGATAAACCACAATTTTGGGCACAATTCATTTCGGTTGCACATTGTATCTTTTATGTAAAGTTCCGCAATTAAATGAATCATAAAGAAAACCTCCGTGTCGAATGTTTATATTTGTCAATAAAAGCATCGTTTAAATTGAAAATGTTATATAGCAATTGCCAATTGGCAAATGTCCCATCATTTGCAATCTGCAATTACTTTTTCAAATGCAAAACCAGAAATAATCAGGGCATTGAGCACTGCCTTAAAAATTATAGCTTTAAAATCAAAAGAATGCATTTCTGACGAAGAAAATGAAAAAGAAATAGCCATTAAAGCCATCTGTTGTTCTTTATGGCTGTGCATGCTGTAATTTGCAAATGGAGAATCATCATCACTAAAGGGCCCCGATGGAATTACGTAATATGGCAACGGCCTATGCATGAAATGATAGTGCACTTTATATCTTTGGATATAAAATGATAGAAAAGAATCGTTTGGTTTTGCGATTAATGTAAACCGCTACGCGGTCATTCAAATTACTTTTCCGACCGATGAGCGAACAAAGGAACGAGCGAACGAAAGAAATAACCATGAATTACGGCATTCGAGAATTACCGGTTAAACAATTCCAATTTTGCCCATAAAATGTGCTCGAGACCAAGAAATGTGACTCGTTTCTACGTCTTTTTAATGGTTGTGCTCATCGCAAAATATGCATCGACGGTGCATTGCGTTTTTTAAATTATTATGTTCGCCACTATGTAATTTTGTGCGGTTCATTGCGAAATTTCTCATTTTATCTATTTACTATTATTGTTTGTTTGCGCGGTTTTAACTCACCGACCCAACCATTGTTATTTTGTGTTTTCAATTGCAGTCTTAGAATCGACAAAAGAATGAAACTTGCCGACTTCTGGTTTTCTTGCAATGCTTTTTGTTTTCTGATCTTCAATACATTTATTTTTTATTTCTTTTCGCTCTGCTCTTTTGGTGCGAGCATTTCAATAAAAGCATATTGAATGACCTCCTCATAAAAGAAATATTTATTCAAGTTATGCTCTTGCTTAGAGATAAAGAACAATCTAAGGTCGGCATTTGTTGACAGCAGTCACGTTATAATATTTATGTTAAACTGTAGACGGATTTTTTGTTGTGTGTGCGATTCGTGTTTGATCGAGGCTGGCGAGAGAAAGAGAGAAAAATGTTTGTTAAGAATTCAGAACAGTTAAAAATGTTGTTTGTAAAACGGTTACGCATAAATCACTAAACAATTCGGTGAAAATGACAGAGAATATGAGGATTACCGTATTTTATGTACAGTTGCGTTCACACCAAGTGATCTTACAAGAAAATAATATTAACATACAACTTAAAAGTCTAATTAAATTTCGCTTAAAAAAACATTCCAAACATAAACGCAGCACATTTACTGCGTTGTCATTTAATGTTTCATTCATGACACTTTGAATTTCACACTTGATTCGAAAATTAAAATGACCGACAGCCGGTGAAAAAAACAACGCCAAAACAATCAAAGCAGGAAAAATGTGATTTCGAGTTTTATGCATTAAGTTTGAATGATCTGAAGCAAATTTTGTGTAAAGATGAAAATGTTGACGCTGTTTTGTGCAAAGATGAATGTTACTGAAATAAATCGGTTTGGTTTTTTGTTTCCACAAAATGTTACGGAACATTTATAATGACATGAATTACCGCGATCATTAAAATGTTGAAAGCAAATTGTCTGCAAAACTTTTGGCCACTTTTTTGGTCAACAACTATGTAATTACACGCCAAAGCGCAATGATGAGAAAAGAAAGTCAAATTTTGAACTTGTTTGTGAAAATAATATGCGTTATGTAAATTAGAGTTACTTTCTTAAATCGGTTGTCTTGTCTAGTTGATATGCTGACACATGGCAAAACGAGTGAAATAGACAGACATAGAGCGAAAGAGAAAAAGACAACAAGTGACATAGTGAGAGAAAATTAAGAGCTGAAAATTTGAAGTTTACTTCGTAGATTCGCTATCAGTTCAGCAACCTTGAAGATTTGTGTTAATCTACAAAATGACATAAATTACAACTTGACTTTGTGTGATTTTTCTCTTTCTCTCTCTCGCTCTCCCTCTCACCAAGCATTGTCATGTTAAATGGTTGACAGGCGCTGTGTGTGCAAAAAAATCATATTATTTCGATTTGAAGTACAATTAAATCAATTAACATATTATCACGTCACGACGTATAATAATAATCGATGCAACCGTACAGATAACCTTACCACACAAACGAAACAAACAATGATCATTTTGTTTTACTTTGCTGTTTCAGTCGTAATTTTTATTTTTACAATTATGTTGTTCTCACTTTCGATTTTATATATGGTAGCTCGTCTTTTTTTATATTTCTTTGAAAACAATAGAGTTCGTGCATCAAGTGCTTCAAATTTTATTTACATAATACGAGCTATTCTCAAACAAATCGTTACATACATTCATGCATGTCTATGTCAGCAATTTTAAAATATCTATGCAAAGAATTCGCCCATTATTTGAGAATTGCATTTGATTCTCGTGTTTCGTTTATGACACGAATGAATTAACAATTCATATTAATTAGACACATTTTGTGTGGTTGGCAAAAAATAAATGGATTTTCTGCATTTTAAGAGATTGAATTTTGTGATCGTGAAAAAAACTAACAAAATATCGCTAAATATGTGTGAAAGCGAAAAAATCAATTAACTATTACACTGATTCGTTCTTTATGAAGCGGTTGAGTGAGCGCGTGCTCGCATCTCGGTACATTTGGTGTTTTATTTGTGGGAGAGAAGAAGAAACAACAGAAGAAGAAAAAATCGCGTAAAACAAAGAAGATGTTTAAGTCGACGAGTAATTCGTCTACTTAGTTAATGGGCTGTTGCGAATGAATGGGATGAATAAGATCGCGTGTTTTTTTTCCAACACATCAACAAAAAAAATCAACAATTTTAAATGCGAGATTTTTTTCTTACATTATTTTTGTTTTTTTTTTTCTTATTTGTTTATGCGAAGCCATGCAAAGGGAGAAAGAAAGAAAAAACAATAACATTGACTGATAAATGCACAAATTTGCACAGAAAAATGGGTTAAATGTGCGCTATACAATGAATATTCATCGAATGAATAGAAAAAAATCACTGTACGATTACGATTAAGTTCAAGGCCCTTTTCACAAAGAGTTCAAAACCTCCTTTCATGCATAACGAAAACAAAACATTAATAGATCGATCGTTTATTTATTTGATGTTGTTTTTTATCTTCTTTCATTTCAGATCGTTTCGTGCTAAGCACATACTCATCATCGATTCCGAATATAGTCAATCAATAGTCTTTACCGAACGAATACACACAAATAATTAGAATAAAATGATGGAACCAGCAACAATTTTCGTATTAACGGTTCAATTGATTGCGCTGTTTTCAATTGCCGGTGCCTTACTTCTATATTTGTTGTGTAAAGTACATCGTACGCGGCAAATGCCAATCGGGCCACAAGGCGGTTCGATTCTAATCACCAGTGCGGATACAGCATTAGGTTTGCAATTATGTACGCATTTAGCCAGTCGTGGTTGCCGTGTATTTGCTGGTATGAAAGACCCCATCGATTCGTTGCCGGCCAAATTGTTAAGAGGTTGGATGAAAGCTCGTGAAAATTCCATCGCACGTGTGCATGGTTCGATAGTACCTCTACGCTTGGATGTGACACGTGAAGATGTGCTAAAAGAGGCCACCGAAGCGATTGGCGCTCATTTGAATGCAAGCGAACGAGGTAAGAGCAATGAATGTGGCCGTTTACGTTTATGCGGTGATTAAACAAAATTTATGTGACTAATAATTTCCTTTAATATATACTAGGTATATCGGCTGTTGTAAACACGGCTGGGTCAGTTGTAAGAGGTCGCATAGAAAGTCAAGATTCAATGCATTGGGAAACAATGTTTAAAACGAATGTTTTGGGTTCGTTGCGTACGGCCAGAGCTTTTATTGGACTGTTGCGACCAACACGTGGACGTCTAATCTATTTTGGTGCATGCAATCCAGGTGACGGTTTAGTTGCGTTCACAGCAAGTCGTGTTGCTGTTGAAGGCTGCGTTGATGCATTACGTACCGAATTACAAAATTACGGCATCAATGTCGTCGCACTCGATTCGAGAGGAGTCATTGCTGAATCAATGTTCAAGGCGCCAATCCCATTCAGTAATTACAAATTCAACATCATAAAAACATTTATTCAACTTTCTTTTCCGCAATGAATTTTTGTTTCTTTTTCTTTTGCAATAAATTTGTTACGATTTTTCCTTGTGTCTTTTTTCGCAGCTTTAAGCGGAGAATCGAACGCACCGACCCAGTATTCGGCTGATGTTCTTACGCGCAGCGCATTGGAAGTAATTGAAAATGCGTTGTGGGATCCACGACCAGAATCACGTTACCAATTAGCGGTTCCGAATTCAAAGCTGTATGCGCTGAAAATGTCCTGTCGAAACTCATTCCGCAGTGCACGCAAATTCAATCCATCAATGATTCAAGTTTAAAATTCACATTCTTCAATTATATACACAATATTTCATCCCATTTATACAGTAATATGCTCTACAATTTGTACATATAACTAAACTCGAATTAAATGAGCAATTTAGGCCATAAATTCATTGAAAAGACACTACTTACTATTTAAAAATAAAATACAAAGAAGAAGAAATTCATTAGGATATTTCGATATTTAAAAAAATATTATAATCATAACCTTATATTAAATACTTTATGTGTATAAAAATAAATTCAAAAAGTCAAATTTCTAAAAGAAGTGCTATAATTCTTTTCGGAAAGATTGTTTATTTTTTGGAAAGAGAATTTCTTCTTCTTTGTAATGGCATCATATGTCAAATCTTTCTAAATTAAGAAAGGACAAATAAATGATTTTTCAATTCAAATGAAATGTCTTTGATTTATCCCATTTTTTTCGCTTGAAAAAAGTTTGTGTGATAATACCTAATGTCATAATGGTAAGTTTTTCAATTCTTTAAAATTTTGAAGAAAAACAAGGAATCAATCTTTAATGCTATCAATATTTGGTGATCAAATTAGAAAAATATTTGAAAATTGAAGTCAAATCGTTCAAATTCAAAAACTCTTACGGCGAATTCGTTGCCTCACGGCGAATGTGAGCCGAACACAACTGACAGCTGTCAACCCAATATGTGTGTGACGTTTAACTGTTGAGCTGTCAGTAATACAAAACAAAGTAGAGGTATGTTGTGCAGAAGGTGACTTGATTTCGTGCGTTCAACAAAAAAAAATCGTTGTTGATATGGATGGTGAAAGTCGCCAGTTGCTGGAGGATTGTTTCCTTCGGCCAATAGTTAATGCCCGTTCCACGTAAGTACCATGACTTCGAGTAATATTCATTGAATAAAATTGTATTTTATGAGTGAAAATTACCTAACCTCAACGTAGATAAAAGTGATATCATTTTTAATTTCGCAATTCTTGTGTAATTGATCAGGAATGAGCCGAGGCCCCTTGATTCTGTGAAGGCTCCGGTCAAATCGGAGTTGCAAGTAGTACGTCTGTCGGAAGGATCAAAGGCAGAAATTATGGACACACTTCGATTCATTCGCGGTCAAACATTTCAACTGAGCCAAAAATCAAAATACAAAGAAATGGGCACACGACTAACGAAAGGATACTGGGAAGAACGTGGCAATTTAGTTGTACAAAGTGTAACCGATGTTCGAAGAATTGAAAAATCTGGCTGTGCTGTTACGGATCGTTCGAAAATATTAAATTTATCCAAATTGGAAAGCTTTGGATTTGACATAAACCATTGTGTCGAAGCATTGGAGCATTGCAATGGCGATAGTGATGCCGCACTAGAATTATTGTACAAACAATATTTTCCGTCGATTTTCAACAATCAAAATAAACCACTGCCCGAAATTAGTGAAAATGAAGCGATTGAAATGCGTGCCGACGAAATGGATGCGCTGAAATCAATCTACGAATCGGATGTTATCGAAGAGAAAGAACCGAACAAAGTTTGGCTATTGAAATTTAAAGTCGATCATTTGCTCATCTACTCGGAATCCGAACAGAAAAAACGTGCATTGATGGAACAAGAGGAGGCAAAGAAGAAACGATACGGTGCTGGTGCAGCGAAAAAAATTGAAAAGTGTAAAAATTTCGCCGTAAATGGTAAATGTTAGGGGCAAATCACTTAAAAATTGCTTATTAATTATTATTGATTGGTTTACGATTATTTTTCGATTATTTTAAATTAATTCGATTCTTCTTTTGTGATTCTCCCCTTAGGTAAATGTAAATACGGTAATCGTTGTCGATTTTCACATGAAATTGAAGCAAATAAAACGTCAGCCGATCCGAATTTGGACACAAACTGGTTCTTTTTGGAATTTAGATTTCCAAAAGGTAATTTATATCCGTATGAGACGCCATTGATTGCGGTTAAAACCATATGCCCAGACATATCAAAAGTGCTATGCTTACGAATAACACGACGGTAATAAAAATATTAAAATTATTAATAAAAAATTATTTAAAATTGAAATGTTTATTAAAAAATAGGTGTTTGGAAGAAGCTCAAATTTTGGCAACCGATGGTATGCCAAGTGTATATACAATAGGCGATTTACTTCAAAATGAACAGGATATTATGGATTTTTTGAAAAACGATCGATACATATTTCCCGACCCAAAAAAATCGGTATTCAGTGTGGAAGATGAAATGGAAAACGAAGTCGAAGAAATTAAAGAACGACCATCGCACTATAAAAAAGGTTCAACCGGCCGATCGGAATTTATACAACTCAATAGAAATCAAATGTTACGCGATGACCTGAGCTTTTGTCAACTATTGTCGAAACGACAGACGAGCGGTGCATACAAAGAAATGATGAGCTCAAGAAGAACGCTGCCAGCCTGGCAAATGTCTGAGAAAATTCTGAATGCAATTGACTCGTCACAGGTGATTGTGATCAGGTAAACCAAAGAAGTAATTTTTGTTTTATTTGACGGCTCTGTTAACAAATCTTTGTGTTTCAGTGGTGAAACTGGTTGTGGTAAGTCTACGCAAACGCCACAATTTATTTTAGACAATTATTTTGCAAGCCTGCAAACAAAATCGAAAGATAAAAACGAACCAGTGAATATCGTTTGTACCCAGCCAAGAAGACTGAGTGCCATTGGTGTCGCTGAACGAGTTGCCGCCGAACGATGTGAGAAAATTGGCAATATTGTGGGTTATCAAATTCGTTTGGAAAATAAAATATCGAAAGCAACGCGTCTTACATTTTGTACGACGGGAATATTATTGCGTCGTCTGCAGGGTGATCCGAATTTATCAACCGTAACGCATATTATTATCGACGAAGTTCACGAACGCAGCGAAGAGTCCGATTTTCTTTTGGCCATTTTAAAAGATCTATTGAAACGACGAAAAAATCTTCGTGTCATTTTAATGTCGGCCACATTGAACGCATCACTTTTCTCGAATTATTTTAGAGGTGCACCGAATTTAGATATTCCCGGTCGCACTTTTCCCGTTGAACAATTATTTTTGGAAGATATTTTAGATCGGACTGGTAAATACTTTCTTATCTATGTTAAAACAAAGAACCATATTGACCGTTTATAATTTAAATTACAGGCTATGTACTCGAACCAGACTCACAATATTGTCGACGCCTCAATAAAAGCGATGAAAAGCAATTGGTTGACGAATTGGAATATGCCGATGTAATAGCATCAAATTCAGAACCGCCGAAGAGTATTCGAGATGAAAATTTAGGCTTAGCCGACATGTATGCGCGATACAAAGGCTTTTCACGAGCCGTATGCAAAACACTATTCTTAATGGAACCAATGAAAATCAATTCCGAATTAATTGAGGCCATTCTTCGGTACATTGTCGATGTGGATGTTTCAAAATGGCCAAAAGAAGGTTCGATTTTGATATTTTTGCCCGGCTTTGCTGAGATTCAGCAAGTGCACGATACGCTCAACGATAGTTCAGTGTTTAGTCCACGGGCTGGAAAATACATAATTGTGCCACTTCATTCAACGCTGACAAATGAAGAACAAGCATTAGTTTTTCGTAAAGCACCGCATGGAAAACGAAAAATTGTCCTCTCTACGAATATTGCAGAGACATCTGTGACGATTGACGACTGTGTTTTCGTCATTGATTGCGGTCAAATGAAAGAGAAACGATTTGATCCAAATCGAAATATGGAATCATTGGATTTGGTGTGGGAATCACGTGCAAATGCACAACAACGAAAAGGAAGAGCGGGTCGTGTTCGACCCGGTATCTCTATACATTTATTCACCAGTCATCGGTTTTATAATCACTTTTTAGCCCAACCAATACCTGAAATTAAGCGTGTGCCACTCGAACAACTGTTACTACGAATCAAAACACTTCCAAACTTTTCTGAACTTCGTATTGAAGAAGTAATCAGCAACATCATGGAGCCGCCGAGTGAAGAAGCCGTCCTGTCTGCGATAAGGCGTCTTGAAGATGTTGGCGCTTTTGATGGAAAAGATAATTTAACGGCGTTGGGTGAAATTTTAGCCACACTACCGGTTGACGTTCGTATCGGTAAATTGATGTTATTTGGTGCGATTTTTCAGGTAAATTTCATTAAATATCGATGATCTTTCAACACTTTGTTTTTATCAATGTTTCTTTTGGTTTTTCAGAGTGTGGACAGCGTACTCACGATAGCAGCATGTTTAAGCTATAAATCACCATTTGTATCGCCGTTCAATAAACGAAACGAAGCCGATAAGCGAAAAAAGAGTTTTGCCATTTGTAATAGTGATCATTTAACGATTCTTAAAGCATACAAAAAATGGTTAGAAGTAAATAACAAAAGTAAATACGCTGGTCGAGCTTATGCTGATGAGAATTACTTATCATTCAAAACGCTCGAAACAATCATCGAAATAAAGCATCAATACTTGGAATTATTGGTTTCGTCCGGATTTGTGCCCACCGACTTGAATTCACGCCGGCGTAATGCTCAGCTAAGAGATAATATTCTTGAATTGAGTGGTCAGAACATGAACGCCAATGGTGAAAATTTTCGATTACTATCATCGCTATTGTGTGCTGCACTTTATCCAAATGTTGTAAAAGTGTTTACACCAGAAAAGAATTTCACAATGACAGCAGGCGGAGCAGTGCCGCGTCAACCGTCAGCTAGCGAGTTAAAGTTTAAAACAAGCCAAGATGGCTATGTAAATATTCATCCGTCTTCCATTAACTCAGAAGTGGGTCATTATTCATCGCCATTTTTGGTCTATCAGGAAAAAATAAAAACATCGAGAATTTACATTCGTGATTGTACGATGATTGCCTTATTACCGTTGATTTTATTTTCCGGCCGTAACATTCGCATTCAAATGCACGGCGGTGAATTTATACTCATCATTGACGACTGGATTATCATGCAAGCCGAATCACTTGAGGTAAATCACATCTTTTTTCACAATTGAAAAGAGGAAAAAAACTAATTGATTTGACTGTTTGCAGGTCGCTGAAATGATGAAGTATCTTCGTGAGGAATTACTGTCTTTGCTTGAAGAGAAAATACGTGATCCATGCCTGAATTTATTGCATCACGAAAACGGAAATCGAATCATTAAAACAATTATCAATTTAATTTCAAAGGATTAACTATTTAATTTATAAAATCAAATATTTTCGGAACGAATAATATATATATATTTTACATTGCTTTGTATATTTGAAGAAAAAAAAAATGAACGTTTTAGTTTTTATTGTATTTTCGGAACGCACTCTCACATGTATCGTACGACATCTGTCACACAGTTGACACAAGGCAAAAGAAAACAAATTTCAAGCACAAATTTGACTGTATGATATCTCTCGTCTTAAGCAATAGAAATAGCTCTTTTTTTGTAAAGTTTGTAAATCTTTTAGTATGGATTCCGAACAAAGTGCCGTTGCGAGTGTAGAAAATCCATCAACATCACAAACAGTGACAAGCAATACAAATCCAATTGAAGCAGCACGGCCGAGCATATCTCAAGAATCAAGTGTTGACTGTGAGGATGAGCAATCGATTAGTCGCGAAGACAATAAAATGTACATGGAAAATTACAATTACGATTTTGATGCAAATGACACACTGACACAAGAACGAAATGAAATCGAAAGAGCGGTGAAAAACAAACAAATCACACCCGGACGAGCCAAATTACAATTGTGGCTGTATCGTTCCATGCGCATTGTTATGACCGACGGTCGTATTCTTATCGGAATTTTCTTGTGTACGGATTCCGATGCAAATGTGATTTTGGGTGTTTGTTCGGAATACACGAAAAGCGGTGGCGATGAACGCATGCTGGGACTTGTTATGGTGCCAGGTAAGATTTGCATGCATTTTACTCTGAAATATCAGATATTGATATCACCTCATTTGCAGGTCGACACATTGTTACAATGCATCTTGACACACGCACGTGAGAAAAGCAGCTACAGCGATGGTCGCAATCGTATTTTATAGAAAGAGCTAGAAAGAACGGATGATTGAATTTTTCTGAAATAAACACTCAATTTATTTATTTTCAAAAGATAAAACTTTCTTGTGTTTTTTATTCAATTTTTCCTCATTGAACTAAGCGCCTACTGGTTTTTATTTATATAATTTTTTGTTGGTTGTTATCGTATGATTCACATGAAATGCTATTACAATAAGAAACAATTTAATTAAATGCCTATTTGTTGAGTTTTTCTTGTGTAACTGGATCGTAGCCAGAGTTCATTTTTTCCTTGAATTGTTCGTATGTTCGTTTGCGATCGAAATGTTTGACCCATTGTGCAGGACAGCTGGTTTCGTACAATTTTCGAAGTTTAGCACATTCACTTGGTCCGTCTTGGCCGCTGGTTGATGAATATTCTGGCGCGTATTTGTCGAGACATTCCCAGTATTTGTCACGTGCATCCCAGCACTTTGATCGGGCGGATTTATCGGGAAATGACATTTTGACTAAATAACCAACTTTTACTTTCGGCCGGTTTGTGATTCTCTGCTGGTTTTCCAAAGACTAAATAACACGATTGTTTTGCGTAACCTAACCATTAAACAGAAAATTCACATATTGTCAATGCAATTTGACACAAGAGTATGTTCTATTTATTCACAAAGCACAATACCATGAAGCTCCATCCGATGGAGACGCCCAAATTTCATTCGATTCGTTCAAAAATTGAAAATCTGAGAAGAGAAAATAATAATAATTCAAATTTTTAAATCTCATTCAAAATAAATGACTTACATTGAATTGAACGGCGATTTAAAATAAACTATAAGGAAAGAGAAATATTCAATGTCGTTAATTTTAACACGTGTCTGAACACAGACTTATTTATTTTGCTGCGTTTTATTATATCTTTTATTTTCGGTAGTAACATCATTGAATTCAAAAATCATAAAAGCAAAAATTTGTACTTTGTTTACAAGTCTTCAAAGGAAATGATTGTTCTTGGTTTGGCTTGTTTCAGTCATGCGAAACATTCAATTTTACAATTAGTGTAAGCAATTGTTACCATACCGAAAAAAAAAGAAACAAATATAAAATAAAAGCATAAAATGATTGTGATACCGCGAGAGATTTGTTGTTTGCGACGACAAAATTGGAATTGTCTCTTGTTGTAATGTATAGTTCAACGACGAGAAACCTTTTGTTAGTCAAGGTCAATGGTACCGAAAACACCGTTCTGTTAATTAAATTAACAAACGAAAAAATGCGATTCAAAATTGTGCGAACAAAATACAAATTCGAAACAAGATTACATGCAAAAAATATTTTGAACGGAAAATTATTCGATTAAAATTCGTTTTCTTTTTTCGTGTTTGATGTTTTTCGAAATTGACGTTTTTAGGTTCTCGCAAATGTGCAACCACTTCAAACTTTGAACAACCGAAAAAATAAAACTAATCGTAATAAATTGAACCGTCTGTCAGAATTCTTGAAAACTTAAAATTAAAATCGCAGATAATTCCTAAATCGTGATACACCGATGACGGATCAATTATATTTCACTCTTAAAATCATTCTTATTTATTAATGAAATGTTAAGCGTTTTTTTTTGCCCCAGCTGTTACCTAAAAGTAATAACAAATCTAGCCAATTTTGTTGGTCAATAGATTAAAAATATGTTTGAAAAACGGCGTAAATGCCACGCAAATACGAATTTATAAATATATATGTTGATAAGTGGATAATTGTGTTCGATTTGCTATTCTACCGTATAATTATGTCAAAATAGCGATGCTGAAATAAAAACCAATGACTATGTTTAACGTTTAGAATAGAGTAACAATGCAATACATAAAGACGATGTACAACGTGCGCTTAATACAGATAAATAAACAATTTTTCGCTCTCCTACGTCAGTCGCGCGTGCATTTTTGATTTATGTCGATTGTTACCGAAATCATCTCTTCTTTTGAAAATGTCAAAGAAGATAATCGTAACGTCGATTGTTTGATGAATTTATTGTAAATAATGAACGAGCCCATAATAATCATGCTACAATGCATAAACATCACACAATTCATATTTCTGGTTGATCTATAGGCACTGGTCTCAAAATTCATTTCAATTCGTTTAAAACGTCTCACTGAATAATGTAATTTACGTAACCTGAGAGACATGTTAATTGGTAAAAATGAATTGCCGCCTAATGAAATGGCTAGATTCAATGGTGCAAAGATTGTCACGTACCTTCAACTGATACGTTACCTTATGGATCACTAGAGATCTTTTAGTCTACGATTTTGCGACAAAATAGCATACTTGACCAGCGTACCGTTATAAGTCAAGGTCATTAATAACAACGAAAATAGCAAACGCAAAATTGCCACATTTTTTTTCACTCTTTACTGGATGCTATCTATCAAGTTTCAATGAAGCTAAAAACGTCATAAAAACCACACACACACCAGGCGAACACAGTGTTGCTCAGTTTCGTTCTGATAAAATATGTCGTTCGTTGTCTTCATTTTATTTCTATTCGCATATAAATTTATAGTTCCGTGCTCTTAACTCATTGTTGTTATTTGTCGATGTCGTTGTCTTCGTTCTCGTCGTAATATTTGCAGTTAAAACGTTTGTTTCGTTCGTTTTTCTTGTTCCTTTTTTATGACATCATTACATTATATATTTTTTTTCGTTTGTTTTTATTTCTGCCCGTTTTGTCACATTTTATGTGATAATGTATACGACAAAATGCACACGGCAAACACATCAACCGAAGTTGACATCGCGCGTATCGCGATTGAAAACATCTATGGAATGGAATGCGTATAAAATTCACAATTCACATTAATCGAGATGGGAAAAGGTGAGCATCAAGAGCTTCAAACAACAACAACAAAAACAACAGCAACAAAACTTCTTATCAAGAGAGATACAGAAAGAAATAAAAAAAGAGAGTCGATATAGCATGAAAAAAGTTCCAACAATGCGGTGAAACCAAATTCAATAAAATCAATGTGAAAAACTCCATCTGAAATATTATAATATAATTATTTAAAAAAAAATACAATATATAAATGGAAAACTTCGATAAATCTGTATTCTGTAGTATGCAAACAAAATCAAGAGTTTCTACTTGCAAAAAGATGAAGAAAAAACATTTAAAAAAAAAACAATGTACATAGAGCTAAAACCACATGGTTGAATTACTGTATTTGAATTGTTTTATATTTTTGCGCTGTCATAATTTCCATTGTCGTCGTTTTTTTCTCTCACTCTGAATGTATGTGTGTGTGTGTGTGTTTTTTACTTCACTTTAAGTGTATATTCAATGCTCGATTGATGATGAATACGATATGAGATAGTTTTCGTTATCAAGATCCGTTGAATGGCTCTAATGAATCGGATGAGAAACTAATAAATATCCCATGAAATATATCGCCGCATGGCACAAGCAAGCTACACTTGGCGCTTATTCTTCACATTTTACTGGAAAACACATCACGTTTCGCGCACGAAAAAAAAAACCATCGAAAAAATATTGAACCGATTCGTGTAGTTGGTGTTACTGCGAATATTTGAAAATTTTGCGAATTCAGTGGATTTTTGAATAAAAGCGTTTAAGAAAAGGGAAAATTACAAAACATGGGAGCGTCTCTTTTGTCTTACAAAATTGTGTCTGTATGCTCTGTACAGAGTACATACCCATCGAAACAAAAGATGCGAAAACTCTTTTGTCTGAAGATTGAATGTGTATGGCACTTTAAGAGTAAGAGCAAATTTATGCAGTTTGCACATCATTTGAATTTGATTAAAAAGCGCCGAGTGTGCACATTTTATGTTCTTCAACCAATTAGTATGCAAAATACGTGTGTACGATGCGACTCAAGCTCAATGTTGATTGTATCGCATTCCATGGAAACTGATGAAAATGAAAAATAACTTAAAAAAAAAAACATTCTTCATGCAGTTTAACCCACAATAATTAAATTTGAAGGGAGATAGAAGAAAAAAAATGAATTTCGTAGTTTCACATTCAATTATGGTGAAATAAAAAGTTTCCGAAGCGGAAAGCGCATCAACAACAAGCACAGTGTATTTCAGACTTTGGCCAACACCTTGACCCACAAAAAAAAATGCTTGTATAATAAACTAAGTGACACAAACGACTTTTTAGATTATATCATAAATGGTGCGGAAGCTAGATTGTATCCAGTACAGTTTGGCTTTCTAGTGCCATCGGCCACCACCATCAACGACGAATGGACCGAACGTATACTTCTCATTATGAAATTCTCTTTCACTCGCACAATTTCGAATATGTGTGTTATCTAAATTGACTGTGCAAAAATGCACGACGCCAATAACATCTCAGAAAACAGCAACAAACAGTGAAACTGAAACAAACAAAAACATTTTATTATAATGACGATAATTAAGCGTTTTGCATTAAATGCGCGTTATTATGCTGGCATTGTGGCGTAGAAATGCCATGCCAAACGCACAATATCTTCCAACGCAAAGCATAGAAAGATGAAAACTCTAATTGGCTACTTGTACCATGTGTACAATTGCTGTTTGTTCTTAAATTGAATGTTGCTTCATACCTGAGAGGGAGGACGGACGCACACAACACCATATATATACACAAACTCTTGAGCATTCAAATACTCTATTTGAATGTAAAACAATAATTTTGTGTTGGTGCTGCTGTTATTGTTGTCATTGTAGCTCAAAAAAGCCATGGCATCTATTACAATTTTGCCATTGCGTGCGCTAGTGCAAATTACATTACAACAGAAAGACACTTTGGAGCATGATTATTTAATTGAAATAAGACGTACAAAATGGAAAGAACAAGTGAAACGTGTCTCAATAAATGGCTTTGTGTCCAGAAGATTAAACACGTGCACTGTAATTCCGTTGCATAAAATGTATTCCATCGTTCTCTTTCTCTCGCCATTCTGGCTCATACATTTTCTCACATTTTCTCGTTCGCTCACCATTTTAGTTTGCATATTTTTTGACCAGCATTTATACAAAATTTGTTTCATTCATTTGTAATCGAATTCATGGCAATTTGTGCAAAGAAATACGTGAGATAGAGAGATGGAGATGAAAGGAGGGGAGGAAAAGAGAAAACAGATATTGTATAGGGTTGTACCTGTCAGTTGTAATTTGAATATATTCACATAGTGTACATTTCATTTTCACGTTTCAACAAAATGCCAAGAGCTCTCTCGAGCTCCGTGTGACTGAGTCAGTTCTCTGTTTTGCATTTGCTTTTGGCTGAAAATTGAAATCAGAGCTTTAAAAACAATGTATTCATTTTGTAAATGATTGTATGTTTGACACCTTCGAAGCTTTCTCTGGTTCATCGGTACCGAATCGATCGATTCAGTTGGCTTTAGCAATATGCAGCTGATTGAGTTTCCCCAATAAAATATGTACTCAAATGTGTTGATTGCATGCTGTGCGCTTGAATTACAATCGCACCATTAAAATGTACCCCCGACGAGAGAGAGAGCACGCATGGTATAGAGATTCGCACATTATTCAAAGGAAATGTGATTCAATGAAAATGGTGACCCATCGAAAAGGATGAAACAAAATAGCCAAAATACAAGGACCATTGACTTGATTCACTCCATCGTAAAATGTGACATCGAAGACGAAAAAAAAGTATGTGGATACTGTGTATATGGCTTTGATCTAAATTTAGCAAAATGAATCGCATAAAATGGTTGCGTGTATGTGTTTTTATTGAAAATTTACCAAATATTCCATTTGCACCACGGTTTTTGCACGCATATAAACAGCATGAGATTTTGTTATTCAATATTTTACTATATTTTAGTTAAAACGTTCTTTCACTTGGTGAGAACCGCTGTGGTCGATCGTCATTGCCAGGTAGAATGGCCAGTAGCAAAGCCAATTGCAATTTTGTTCTTTATTTTATGTATGTTGAGTTCCATTTATGTTATACAGACATTTTAGTTATTTTCAAATTGATTTTATACCATTACTGTTGTTGTTACCAACTCAGAATGGCTTCGACTGCGTCATCTCCCGTGTGTTGTTGCTTTTCTCTCTCTCTCTCTCTCTCTCTCTCTCTCTTTCTTTCTTTCTCATCTTGTTATTTATCGTTCACACAATTAATTGTCATAATTTTTCATTTTAATCAATAGCGTGCGAGACGAACGAACAAAAAAGGTCGGACACTCGAATAGACAATAACATTTTTACGATGATTGCATAATTTTTCATTGACACTTGAACATTTGAATCCATTTATTTACCTGTGCGCGCGTCAACAAAGTAATTAAACCGACATACAAAATATTTGCTCGGGTTTTTATGTGTGGTGCTGTTGGCTGTTGTTGTTGCTTCTCAGAATGAAATGTGAGGGACGGTGTCTTTTGCTTTTAGTAAAAATGTATTTATTAACAATTCATCGCATGCACCAAAAAACAGAGCGGATGATGTCTTCAATGCGTGTACCGAATATTAATTTATGTTTCTGTCTTAAATGTGCTCTCGCCTGTTCGCTCGCTCTGTGTCGCTCGCAAATGAAAGATAAGATATGACAGGCGGCTAAGCATATAAAGGGACAATTTGTTTTTTGGAGACGCACATCAAATTATTGCAAACATATAGTGATATTGTTTGTTGCTCTGAACTTCAGATGGTCGCCCATCAAAAAAAAAAAACAAAAACCTCATCATGATGATCGAAATGTGGTGCTAATATCCAAAAGCAAATTCATGTTGTGTTGGTAACACAACGCAAAAATTAATTTAGTAGCCTACGAGGCATGCCAGGCATGAAGAAAATGACAAGTGGCGGTTTCGTTTTAAGTTACATCGTATGTCACTGATCCTTATCATTGTGTTATTGTGTGCTTGACAAGTGAATGAAATTTGTCTCAATTCCAATTGACTCTGTCCAGAGAGTATTCAATGCTTTATTTTTCATTTGTTTTTGCGTTGTCGGTCACTTACCGTGTAGGCTGCGGTGTCATCTGAATTTCGCAACATACAATTCAAGTCATTCTTATTATTGTAATATGTCAATAAATCGGAAAACAATATTACACCAAATTAGTTCCTGTCAACGTTGCCAAAAAAATTGTGTGACATCTATTTTTTTTAAATGGATTTCTTATTAAGCTTCAACTAAGAATGGAAATATATTTATAGATACATAATTAACAGACATGGAGGAAGATAGACAAAGAATACAAAAATTGAAATCACAACGCATTGGAGCATATTCGATGATGTCGCTCATTTATGATTATTATTATCATTAATACTTATTTTTATGGTTTATTCGACAGATTTTGTTAGATACTTCTTCGACAAATTGGGACGCCCAACGCATTTTAGTGGCGGTAGTAAAGTGTCGGCAAGACACAACACGTTCCGCTTGGAAACATTTTACTATTCACTGTAATTGTGTTTCTTTTTTCAACGTCTTCTTTTCTTCATCTCTTTCTCTGTCTTTGTGTCTGTGTTTCATCATAATTTACGGACGTACTACAAATGTCGAGTTTAATTGAATTCAGCGCATTGTGCTAAAGAATTTTAAAATGACAACAACAAGCGATTACATCAGCTCCAATTTACCACAGATTATTGTTTGGCACACAAATGATTCACTTTTAATTAAATTTGTTTATACAACCAATCAATAATATTGGTTTCATGATGGTAACCAAGGTCGATTGGATTTTTAAAATCAAGCCAAGAACTTAAAAGAGGTAAAATTAACATTCTTGAGGCTTTCTATGCTATTTAGAATAAATGCTTGGATGGTGGGATTTAAAACAATCGCTATTATGATTTATTGATTTTATGTGAACAATCTGATTTAACACCCTTTTACTGTCTGCTGTTTGAATAAAGATACATTTGTATGATTGATGGACGTTGGAACAGGACCCATAAATGTATGAACAAAAGATAACAATCAAATGCAAATAAATCTTGTCACCATCGAAAATTATCTCCATATTCGGAAAAGTAATCAATTGACACGCGTTCCATTTAAGATGAATCAGGCGAATCGTATCTAATCGATTTGTTTTGTCTACTCAAAATTGAATATATTGCAATAAAATATAATCTTGACATAATAATTGACCGCACAAATCCGATCTAATCAATTTTTAATGCTTGAATTTGCTATTTAAATTTCGGTGGCTTGTTTCTTTTTTTGTCTCTCTCTTCTTTAAAAGGTTCCATGGTAATTGTGATCATGCCGTGGTTTTGGTTTCAGAAGTTTTACCGATTAAACATACGGTTTTAGAAGTTTCACATTGTTGTGCCTTTAAAGATGTGAGAGGGGTTTCATCATTAACACAACCAAAGAACCGATCGCATTCAGAAAAAACCATGGAACTTTTGAGAATGACTAACTTTATGTGCATACCTTTGCGGTTTCACGATAAAATAGAAACATGTATATTATATCTTTGTTTACCGGGCTGATTTACACGTAAAGACAAAAGTAGCGTAAAATGACAACAATTGACACACACGAAAAAAAAAACAAGGCACCGAATTGAAATGAATCAAGCAGCAAATGACAATAACGCACTAGCCAAAATGAAATAAAGGCATTGTTTACATGCTTGTTTATTTAAAAATTGAAGAAAAAAAAACACACACAAAATTTTGTGCACAATATATTTTTTCGTTTTCGTTTCAGTTTTCGTCTCGACCGTGTGATGATTGTTAGTGCAGCGGATGAAGCAGGATAGCATGTAATGATTTCGCTTAACAAATCATTTTGAGTTTATTTACGAGATTTTGTGCTCATTGGACTATTCGTACACGAATATGCTAACACATATTATTGCGATTCTGTGCTGGTGCTTCTGCTGCTGCCACGTCGTTTGTGCTTTTTTTTGCTGCTGCTCTACTGTTGCTTATGAAAATACTTATTCTTTGCAGCCGCGCTTACATAAGTTCAAGTACAAATAAAACAAAATAATACACCCGCCTATATTTTTTTGTGTGATGTGGCTGATTACTATAAAAACAAATGTCTTGGCTGCTATCGAATCAGTATTCAGCAAAGAATCATCTCGGAACACATTTCCAAAAACGTCTCCGTGAATTTTTGTTTAAGATAAATTATTCATTTTCCCTCACAAACGTGTAAAGTCAATTGAAGCAATGAAAGTGTTGGTGAGTTTAGATGTGCAATATTTTTTTTTCGCTCAAAACTGAAATTGATTTCGTGCGCAAGTGTTTCACGAAAATTGATAATTTTTTTTTTTGAATACAATATTGACATTTTTTTAAATTTATTCCAAAAATGATAAAGTGACATTTCTTTCGGGTGTAATAATGGCATATTTTATTTTTGTTTCAATTTTCTAAACTACAAAAAAAACTATAGGCAGTGATATTCGTCGCGTTGAGCGTTGCTTTAGCCGAGGAAGTTGCAGAGAAAAAAACGGAAAAACGTTGGATTTATGGATCGGGCTATGGATCGGGCGGATATAATGACGGCAGATACTCTGCATATGGCAACAGTTTATATGGCAACCAAGCATACAGTGGTAATAAAAAATGATTTTTTTATTCATTTTTTTTTCGAAATGGAAAATCACTTTTTATGCTTATAATAAGCATAGTTTTGGCGGTAACGCAAAATTGAATACACAATACGTACGTTCTCGATTTTTTTTTTGAATTTTTGTTATTACAACAATACAATTTGAAGCGCACTTATGAAAACAAACGATTTTTCAACGCAAACAAAATTGATTGGACTCACAATGACGCATTTTTTGTGTGTGTGTATGTTGATATCAATGGGTTTCAAGTTTTTATCGTTATTTCTTTTCAATTTTTTTCTGTATCGATTCAATTTTAACCCTTTGACAAATAGCATCTCTTTGTAATATTGGACACCCATGAATGCTTTGTGTTTTCGTTCAGTTTTAATAAGATTTGAAGTGTTTGTATGATATAAGAAAATTTCTCAAGATATTGAATTTTATCTTCTTTCTCTCCAGGTTATGATGGCACTGCAAGCCCATACAGCTATAGCAACTATGGAAGTGGATACAATAATCCAAGTGGAAGTGGATTTAACACGGCATTCGGCAGCGGTAGTGGATACGTTTATAATCGGCCATTGAATAATTTGGGATATCCAAACAACTATAATTCAGGATACTCGGGAGCATATAACACTGGAGCATACAACACTGGAGCATACAACCCTAGTGCCTATGGAGGTGCCTATGGAAGTGCCTATGGAAGCTCCTACCCAAATTACTACAACAACCGATACAACAATTACAACGCCTATGACGGCTTATCTTCATCGTCACCATACAGATACAATAATTACCACAGCAACAACTATAACGGTTATACTGGCTACACTGGCTACAACGGCTTAAATAACGCAGCCGGATATAATAGCGGATACAGTACTGGAGTCATCGGATTGCCATACAGTCAACAAGCATATACACAACGTTATAATTCAGATGGTTACGTTTATTAAATAATCTCGAGCTAAAAAATTATCCGAAAAAAAGCTATCTTTGTTACCATTAACAGTGAATGTAAAAGAAACGATGCCCCTCCAGAAAAACACATACATGCTCACTCAACGACTTTTTGTAAAAAAAAAAGTCATTTTACTCGTTTTCCCGTCGAATATCATCCTAAAGATCGGTTCTTGTAAATAGATGCTATTTACATTGAATTTTATACTCTAATTGATAATTTCCCATTTTTTTTCTATTTAACCAATCAAAAAAAAAATGTACGAAATTCTTTTTGGAAAACACTTTAATAAAATCATCAACCAAAACCAAAAAACACATCATCGTGTCATATTCAATGTTGTATCAATTTGTTTTGATTTTAATGTAGGAACTGAGCGATTTACATGCATCACAAAATGCAAAACAAATTATATTAACAACGCAACATGTAAAATCATCGTCAATTTAATATATTATTATTATTTTTTTGTGCCTATTAATGGTAGTGTGGTCTATGACATCATATATTCATGAAGGTAAATCGATGTGTCAGTGTAAACAATAACAATGATGATGATGTCGACGACGGCAAAAATTGCGTTTTTAAACGAAATTAAATCGGCGAATGAACCTAAGCACTTGTAAAAATGATCGTCGGTCATAATCTGTGCAAAAATAATTACGGATTTATGCAAATATAATTTGAATAGAGTCGAAGAAAAATAAAGCGGTCAGTGAACAGTTTGGAAATATGCGCATGTTGTGTGATGTACATATCTCTGGCTCTGCCTCAATGAAAGCAATGACAGGCAGGTTGCTTCGGATCGGAAAGTTGACAGTTGACTCTACTCTACATGGCAATTAACACTTTTATGATTGATTTCTATTTTGTGTGACGTTGAGAGAGTGAAAAAAAAAAACAAAACAAAGATGAAGAAATATAATAAAAACAAATTCCAAGCGTTGCACACATCCACATAATGTTTGAGCCATTTATCAGTTGTTCGCGAGCGATATTTAACGTTCGACGTTCATTGATCGATGTATTTGATATGTTCATAAATGCATTTTTGTTGTTGTTGTGTGTGTGTTTTTTTTAGTTTAACTGTTGTTATTATAGAAATAAAATTGACTTCACTCCTTCGTACGCCCAGCACGATGCTTATTAATTTTTCACCTTTAGATAATTATTATAATTTCGATATTGATTAAAGATACAGTTGCAGTAGCAGTAGCAGTAGCAAAATAGTCGGGGACACGTATCGTTGGCTAAACGATGCATTTTACACACATTTTACCATCAATCAATTTGAACGGTGCACAATTACACCTTTGATATTAGAAATGCGCACGAGTTTCAAAAGCACATAGCCAAACACCTAACACCGATCTCGACGAGAGGCAAGAGAGAAAGAACAATTAAAAGACAATTTCGCACGTATTCACACCGTACACACAAATGCGGATGCGATCGATTGTTTAAATGTTTCATATAAGATTGAAACAGTTATAAGGTAGCAAAACAGCTAAGTCGCAGTGGCATGACGTAGTGACTTTCAATTTTTCAACTTGTGCAGAACCGTTGCAAGTGCTACTGTATCTACTTCTTTATAAGAGGTAATTTGTATTTGCAAACACAAATGGAATTTACATCATCATCATCATCATCAGAGTGCACGCGCGTACACATATGCGAACATTTCCTCTGCAGCCGCGCCGTCAATTGGATTTTCTATTTGCTGTAATTTGTGTACGTGAGCACACAGCAGATATGTTATTTGGCCAAAGATTCATTTTGTGTTGATCCGCACACGCTCAATTTGTCTTGTCTTCTCTTCTTCCTCTCTGCTGCTATCTCTGAATTCTCGTTTTCTTTCCCTCCGAACATTGCATCTCGTTTCTCATTACTACAACAACAACAATAACTTTGCTTGTTTTTATTTCATATTTGTTGCATTAATTTAAAGCATCTCGTCTAGCGTGCGATGACGTGCTCGCGAGACATGAGTTTTACCATTGCTTTCGATGCTATACTCTGTGTCTAACTGGCTCTCCAAGTGGCAAGTGCCACGCACTGAACAAATGACGATAACGGTGAGAAAGAGAGGAAAAGAGAAATGGATGCAATAATAAGCAGAGGTTCAAGTTTAGTTACGAGCATTATTACGTTAATTGACCTTTTTAATACAGGTGACTGCGTTTATCGTATATATCTCTTTCTCGCGTCCCTCGCAAAAAGCATACATACACAGAGTCAAAAAGACACATATTTTACATACAGCACGTCTCGTCTTCATGCAGAATTATCATCAAGAACTGCACTTAAAACTGCCATGTTTCTCTCTCTGCCTTTTCGCGAGCTGCAGAATATGCATTTATTTTCACATTTTTGCACTTGTTGCTCACGTAGCAAAAGAATGCCAATAAAGCGCACATAAGCGCACACAAACATAATATTTATTATATCTGGTCTACGTCGATGGAAACGCAATAGAAAAAGTGCGCAATTTTTTTGTTTAATAACTATAATAAAAAATGTTTTTTTATGTTCTACCATAAAATGCACATGATAGTTTTAATTTTCATCTGTTTTCATTTTAATTTTATGACATTGTTGGAATTGCCTTAATACATGCTAGATACATCCTGTACCATGATAGTATACGTCAATCAACGAAGTGAAATCACAATATTCACAATAAGATCTTATCTAATAAATAATCATGTAAATTGCCATTGAGTAGAATGCACTCAGCGTTACTTTTCCGATTGATCGATATAATCACATTTTGCAACAAAAATCTAACATGCTATTTACTTTGCATTAACATTTGTCACACAAATACACACGTTTAGTTTGCAACGCGAATTATGAGATCGCACACGGTAGATAGAAATTGTTTCGAGTTACAAAATGAGACTCGAATAAAAGTGTGTGTGTGTGTGTGTGTGGCGTAATGAGGTGAAATTGTGTATGGCGATAAAGTCGAACTTGATTTGTAGAAATGTCGAGATTTTCCATGTATTTGCATACATTGCAATCGGTTGTCTTCCGTTTTAATATTTTCAGTTTGTGTGTTTATCGAATATATTTTCACACGAGACGTGCGCGCAATGACGCGACCAAAGAAGCGTATAATGTGATTGTGCCCAACGAAAGTGAGTGCACAATGAATTTCATATGGGTGTATGTTTATTATTACAAGTATCGTAATAGAAACATTGTTGCTCCAGTGAACATCAGCTCAATCACGTATCAATCGCAACGAAAAACGAAATTCAATTGATTTCCCGGTTTGATTTAATTATGCATAAGGCGTGCGCACTCCAATAGACCGTCGTTGATGTCAGTGGTAAACATAAAATCATCTCGATGCTATTTTTTCTCTCCTTCTCTCACTCTCACTCTTCGCCATCGAAACGGTTTCGATTTTTCGCAGAAAAATAATCACACATAATTGTGGTAGTGGCTGAATGGACGGAATGGATCGAAAAGTGCAATTGCCACGTAAATATATTGAACGTAAATAATAATTACAGTCATTCAAATGATGATTATACCGGAATTAATGCCATCCGTGCATGTGTGCACACAAACACACTCTTGGGTCAGGTTTTTAAGATCATGACTAATTTAAATGCGTCTAATTACCCGTAAAATTTCGATTAATAACTATGTTTTTTTATATATTCGAACACAAAGTGATGACCGGATGACGACAACGTGGACAACAAGAAAATGTCGGAAGTATTGTTGTCGCCGCATTGATTTCCATTTGAACATTAAAGTGACAATTATATGGCGTTGAGTACATTAAATTCTATTCTGTTTGCTGCACAGAAAGACATTCATATCACTTTCACTCGGCGCGCTATTCCAATTAAAATGTAAGTAAGATTGTTAAGATCGAATTAAAATTGCAAAAGCAATTTTCACCAGTCCAAAAACCTTCACAGTGCTGTATTTTAAGTTTTCGTAGTATTTTATGTCGAACACCAACAACCTTTTTGTGTACGCTGGTTTGTCAATCAAGTTGTTGTAGTTTTTTTTCCCTTTTTACTGCCATTTATCGCTTGATTGCCCATTAAACGTATTCCATTTAATATATCGATGCGGCCAATTAATGCAAATTATTCATTTAATAACGATAATCGGAATCTCAAATGTTGGCGAGAAAAACATACAACCACTTCTGCTTTGTGAATTCAATAAAATTGGAGAAAAATAAAAACTTGCGAACAGCAAAACCATTTTCGCCGATAAAATCCACTCACCAATCAATTTGCATATTCCACTACGTTCCATAACCGACGCCACCCGATGGGATTCTTCTTAGTTTCAGTGGAAAAAAATGCATGCTGATACGAACGCATTGGACCATATACAAGATCAAACATGAAAATAACTGCAAGAAATTCAATCAACTAAACATGATGTTATCACAATTACTTAACATAACAAACTTATGATAATACAATTCATCAAGAAGAGCAAATATTTGCGAAACTGAAGTTTTTGCCGAGTATAAGTGTGTGAGTGTGTGTGTATGAATAACATATATGGATTATGTTTGCTGAACAAGTATCAGCGGTCACGGTGCAATGTCATTCTCCGATCCGTTTAACCATTAATCTGTGTCGAAAACTACATATATATACATCCCAACATTAATGCGGTACATGCACTTTGCTGTGCTCGCAACCACGAATCGTCTTCAATGGAAACCGAAATTATGTTTCAAATACGATGTAATACAGATGTTTCGATGTTATTCAAAAATCCATAAGTCTTTCTTTCGCTTTTTTGCGGTATGCAATGAGATAAAAACAAATGCGTGCAGCAAAAAAAAAGAAAAGAAAGAAATCGAATACTGTGCCATTCATTGGTGCAAATACAGTATTTCTTTTTATTGCTGGCGTGTTTTGTTTTCAACAGATCGATTGAATTTTGAGAAAGAGTGATGCTTAATTGCGATCCCCACACAGAGATGCTCTCTCTCTCTGCATGATAGCGCAAATACAAACGTACATCATACGAGGTTTAATTACAGTGGAAATCTCAATACTTCTCTCATACAAAAAACCAATTTCTAATTCAAAAATCCATTGCTGCACATTTGCTTTAAAACACTCTCGCAAATGTAATCGACATCATTAACTGCACTTGCACTGTGAAAAATTGAAAACGTAAAACCAACGAAAGTCAATTTCTTATATAAACTCTTCATCGATGTGTGTGATGTGGTCTGTGTGGTGTTGGACAAAAAAGAGAGAGAAGAAGAAAAAGCTAAGAAAGAAAATAAAAACGATACAAATAAAATCAAATGAAAAATGCACTCTTGTTCGGCTTTTTTTCTCAACAAACGTCGAAATGAACATACACACCAACTGTATGATGTGCGTGTGTGTGTGCACGCTGTGCTAAGATGATGTTAGGGTTAAACATAAACACACCACTCTATATATAAATAGTCAGCAAGAAAATTTCACTTTCAGTACATTCTGCGCATTTCGTTCGGTACATTTACAAAATTGCATTCTCTCATTCATTGTCTCTATATGCCAAGTGCAACGCAACAAGTGAGTGTGTTTTTAATGTCGCAATAGCGGCAACAACCATCAACAGTAGCCACAACAAAAACTTACAGGAAAATTGAAACCGTTTTGTTTTTCTCTTATGGATGCGTCCGCATGTTTTTGTGAATTTCGTGTCTGTGATGGAAAATGAACAAATTTGGCCAATTTTTGTTGAAATTTTTAATTGAATACTCGTGGTTTCGCTTTTTTTGTCCTTCATTCTCGGAAAATTTCGGTTTTTTATCCTCCAATTTAATTTTCTGTTTGATTGTTGTGCTTTGATGTTGTTGGGGTATTATGTGTGTGTTTGTGTGTACAAAAAATGCGTCAATTAATTATTCACTTTATTATATATATAATTTTATTTTTGTTTCAAAGTTTTAGAATCCAAAAAGTGAAAATAGTTGTGTGAAGAAGAAGAAGGAGAAGGAAGAGAAGAATAAAATAAGAAGAAAGAGGCAGACAAAAGTAACAACACACTAAGAATGAAAAGTGAATTTACATGCGAGTGAAAATTGAAATTAATTAACGAAGAATCTTGTGGAGAAGAGAAATAAAAACCACAGCGATAGTGCCACGTTTGCGAGAAATTTGCAAACAGTGAAAACAAAAGCGATAAGAAAAAGTTGGCATTGGATAAACTGGAATAAACAAAACCAAAGCAAAATATATTAAAATCATGATGTTCACGGTATGTGCTTCAATTCATGTTCGATTTTTATTCTGATCTCTTTCGCTCTTTTGCTCTCATTGATGTTTTATTTAACGTTGTTGTTATTATTATGCTATTTACCGTGAAATGTGTATGCGATTTCTGCTAAATGTTGTCGATGGTTTTGGATAAAACATGAACGAGGCAGTCGGTCGTAAAAATTGGTTTTGAAATCAAATAATAATTACACATGGATATTCATGCGGTTTATCGTTCCATAATATTGATATTGACTTTGTTTTTATTCGATGGCCCAGTGGGATAATTTACAAATTAATCCGATAAAATTGAGAGAGGCGAATTAACGAACGGGCGCGCGCACGCGCATCCACTTCGTACAATTTTAATATATCAGTGATAATCTTTTTCAATCACAAACGGTTTTATAGCGCACATACGAGATTAAACTCGATGGAATCAATTGAATACTTTTTCGTTAAATTTTACGACATAAAATATATTCAATCTTATCGCATCGATCAAACGAATAAAAAATCCCCATTTAATGATAATTGGCTACTTTTAATATGTTTTAATATTTTTTTTACAAACACAGAAACAAATCATACTATTTGCATCGATATTTGCGGTGATTTGTGCATCGAAAGAGCAGTCAAATGACGGTGGATTTGTGACAGCCGAAAGTAATCACATGTATAGTCAACCCATTCAAGACAATATTGCTGCCGAATCAGAAGTTGCAAAACGTGGTGCGGCCATTGCAACATCGTCCATTTCCACTAGCAACGAAAATCAAGGACAAAGCTCACAAATTGATGTTGGTAAGTGTTGTGTCGTCTTTTGATACTTGAACATGCATTCACCCGTTATTTGTCCATCGGTTCACATTTCTGCAGGTACAAACAGTGGTTCGGGATCAGGCGGTGTAATTAGTTTTACAACACCAAATAGTTTCCAACAATTCTTTTCGCCAACATTCGGACAATTTGGAGCAATTTATGCGGCATCTTTAACTCCATCAGCATCCGGAAATTCGCCGCAGGTATTGAACTGAAAACTTGAAATTACTGCAAATGTACGTTTGCAATGTATAGATTTTTTTTAATCATTTAAAAGCAAAGCTCCATAGTGCAATGAATGAATGAGTGGCATTTAACAAGCGCCAACAATTCACTGCCGTATAATTTGATTTGTGGTAAATCAAAAGGCAATAAAATTACAAATGAATAGGTTGGCTGTGTTTGTGCATTAAGCCAATCAATGTATATGTATGTATACATAATTTCGTAAATTACGTGATAACTCAAAGCGTATCAAATGAGACGAATGAACCATAAATGAGAAAAAAAATTAAGAAACAACAAAACATCAAGACATCGTGTTCTTTTATTCACAAATTGCTATTCTCATTTGTCTTGATTACGGCAATTTTATCGCATCGGTTCTTTTTGGATGAAAAGAGAGAGAGAAGAAAGAATGAAATGCATTGAATTTACACACAAATATTTATGGATTTTCAGCAACAAAACTTTCATTCGTGCTATTAAGTGGCCCCTAGTTTTATTTTTCGAGCAAACATGAATTTTTGCGAACCAACAATTTGTGTAACCATTAACGGTGTTGCAGCGGTGATTGTATACTGTTGCAGACATATACAGAGCGCGCTGTGTCTGTGCAGCACAGCATCGAGTCAATAACCTTGTCATCACAAATCAATATGAAATTCACATTATTCCGTAATCGGCACAAACTGATAAATATCATCGCGTGTTGCGTGTTGTTACATGAAAAATTGAAGTCGATTGAATTGTACGCAAATTCACGGGCGCTGATCTCCTAATGTGATGCTGTAGGTTGAAGCCACGACAACGATGGTGGTGGTAGCAATGCACCGCATATCCACCGAGAATGAGTGAGAGTGCGTGTGAGAGAGAGACGATTGATAACATTTATTGAACGTAATAGAAATAACTGGTTTGCTATACATCACACATCACACATCACCACATAGAGACTCTAAGTGAACTTAAATGTATAAAATATTATACAATTTTGCATTGGAGATGTTTGTCATCGCACCGTTGCGGTGTTGCAGCATAAACCGGTCGCACATTTCATTACAAAAATGAATAAGACAGCATAAAACCACTGAACATTTTGTCATTATCGTCAATCGAATATGATTTTGTGTGTGATGAATGAACTCTTTATTGGTTGAATAAGTCGTTTGATGCGTGGAAAGTTTTATTCAACTATAACATATTCAATTTTAGCTGCTCCAATTCGATGCTAAAAACTCTCTATCATAACATTTTATTTTCGACAGCGCCATTTTCCAAGTTCAATAGAACTCACAATTTATTATAAATTTCAACCGAATTGCATGAATAATATTAACAAAAGGCCAAAATATGAAAACAATGAATACTTTTACACGCATGAAATATAACATGAAATACGTCGCCCGAAAACATTTAATGGTGTATTTTTCATTCTCTCCGCTTTACCCAATTTGTTGCGCTTCCATGATTGTGGCACTATATGGCATGGTTTATTTTTTTTCTCTCCCTCAGCTTGAATAGTGAACACAATTCAAACATGGAAAGTGAAATGCATGCATGAAAGGTCTATAGCAGATGCATTAGAAAATCATCTTTTATTTTCTCTCTCGTTCGTTCGTTCCCATTCGCGCTCGTTCTTTGTTGCAATCAATTGTTCAATGAACACAATAACGAACTGGCTCAACACCATTAATGATTCGCACATGTAAGCTCATCGCGCATGAATCGATAATGAAATTGAAAAGATCGTACGCAAACACGGTGATGAAAAACAAAATGGAAATTCACTTTAAATGTTATGATCCGCCGCTCTTCGGTTGTTGTTATTTGTTTTTATTTTATTTTTTTGCTAAATTAAAGATTTTCTATGTGCGTGCACCATCACAATACGTGGCTCCAAGTGGTGTTGGAACAATCAAACTATCGTACACATCGAATCAAGCTCAACCACAAACAAGTATACAATATGCATCAACAACGCCCAAGGTAAAACTAATAACATTCGCACTCAAATGGATGAAAACCATCTCTTTTTTTTCGTGATATCGACAAATTTGCATTTCAATACAGGTTGCATACGCGATTACACCCAATCAATATCAATTGGCCGTAGCAGCTACACAACCAAATTCGTACACATATGCACCACTTGCAATTGCTAGTCCGTACACAACAGGCGCATACACAAATGCCAATGGTTATTTAAATACTGCCACCTCTGCCGCGACCAATATTGCTCAATTACCACCTGCTGCACTTCAGCAAGGTCAAATTATTCCATATACAGCATCATCTTCGAATGGCTACATTTTGTCACAGTCACAATTACAACAATTACAACAATTGGGCATTCCAGTCGGCCCACCATATACAACACCAGCACCAGTCGCCCCAAGTCAACCGAGCGTGCCAAGCGTGCCGAGCGTGCCAACCGTTCCAAGTGCACCAAGCGTAAAACCCGGAACAGCCGTTGTCAGTCCAACACCCTCCGCTTATTATTCGGGATATTCTGCGATACCAGCTAGCCAAGCCTATCAACAAGCACCGACATTCCGTAAGAATTACCGAAGAACTTCGGTGTATTCAAACGATTTTTTAAAAAATCATTGTTTCGCTTGAATAATTGAAAAAAGAAATACATTCATAGAAAGTTATTAGAATTTTGGTAATTTTTTATTCAAATATAGTTTCATACCAAAATGCTGGACTGAATTATGCGACTGCTCAAAAATTGGTGGCCGTTCCATCGTATACTCAAGCTGCATATCGTCCGTATGTGTCACCAACAGCGGCTACTGCTGCAACAGCCTACACCAATGCTTATGTTCAACCAACAGGAATCTCACCAGTTAAAGTAAGTTCGATCATTTTTGTGTGAGATTCATCAAAAGGTATCACAGAACCGAAAAAAATCATTCAAAAATTTAAGCAAATTTCCAAGTGAAATTGGGAACTTTTTTTCCTCATCCTCAATGTCACCGAAGGAACGTTTTTTTTTTTTTAATTTATTTAGACTTTTTGTGAATTGAACAGGCAAATCTAGTCTCACTTCAATTAATTTACATTTCTAATCAATTAATTTGTATGTTTGAACATATGTGACTCTTGCAGTATACCTTGGCCCAACCAACAAATTACTACAGTTCAGCGTATGTACCAAAAGTGGCTTATGCGCCATCGTTGAGTGCAACATCGTCAACACCATTCGTCACATCGTTTCAACAAGGCCAAGCTAGTCAAGCCTTTCCATCAGCTCAAGCTACAAATACGAACGGTGCCATACAATATGCATCGCAAATATATCAACCATCATTGACTGGGACAAAGTACGGATACCCAACCGCACAAAAATACTTCTACGCATCATCGTAATAAATACAAAACAAAAATCATTATCGTCATCATCAGCACATAACAAAAACCACTTCGAGAAATTAATTGAAAACACAAACCGACATTGTTAATTTAAACCAAAATTGATTTCGCATACATTTTGAGATTGTCGCATAAATTATAACAACAGCAAATGCAAATTCAACCAAAAAAAAATACATTCTACACGCACTCACGCAAAGAGATTCGAAAAACAAAATGAACGAATGAAAGTATTCACTCATCTTAGAATCTAAGAATTAATTAATTTTGAAACAAGTAACAAAACGTTGTAAAAAAAAGGAAAACGGAAATGAAAATATGTAATATTCTGTTTAAATAATCGATATGAAATAAGTTAAGTAGAACTGAGACTTTGTTCTTTTTTATTTGGCTTGAAACACTTATACTACTGTCTATCCATCTTCAAAACAAAAAAACGCAAAATACATTTGCGATGATTGTATTCTAAGTTTAGATAGATTGAAATTGTTTTATAATTGAGCAATGTAACATCGAAATGATGAGATGTTTCACGAATAAAATTCTGTTTTTAGACAGGCTCTGTGGAAATAGCGAAATGTGTTCAATTTAATGCTTGTTGATTCGAAACGGTATTTTTTTGATTTCGTGTTTGGTGTTTTAATGCAATCTAATACATTGATATTTTGAATCATTTCAAGTTCTTACTTTTTTCAAAACACTTGATGCATAATCGACGACAAATGAAATCTTTTGAATTTAGTCGAAAAATATGCTTGCCCCAAAATTCTCCTTAAAATTTGATTGCGCATGTTCAAATGCCCCTGCATATTGAAATTCCAGTGCTGAATTCTACTTTCATCAAGTGTAACGCAATTTTGGTACGAAATTGTCTTGGCAAATGCTTTGAAATCGAGTGTGCTACCCCAATCGAAAGTGATGTGCGTGATAACGCAGTCAGCACGCGCCGAAGCGGTTTTCAGCTGTGATTGATAACACACAGCAGGCAAAAAGAAAGCGTCATCGGCTTATTTAGCAGATGTTGCCGTGCCTCTATGTGAATACAAAGCACCCCGTGTAAGCTTTTTATTTTCGACACACTCGCCGATGTTTGCACATTCAGCAATTCATTCGAACATAGTGTAACCATCGTTGGTTTTTGGATAGCAGTACAGCTCAATACATGACGATTGCATAGTTGCCGTCAGTTTGTCTACAGGAATACACACGGTTCAAATGATATAGCCACCCGAATGAAAGCAGTTCGCTCCCATCAACATAATCAGTGGGGCTGAATACGCCGCCCAGATAAGATGTGTTGTTATTTGGTTCGTCAGCATGCCGTACTTCAACTTCAATTTACACGGTTTCCTCCAGAAAATTGTCTACCAAAATGAAAATCATATAACATTAGAGTATATTCAACGAACGGAACACAAAATGATCGTTTCGATTTTTAACGGTTGAACCATTTTATAAACAGCACATTTTGCACTAGTTTTGGATATTGTTACCAGTGGTATGTAACAAAAGAAAATTAATTCGGAAATATTTAAAAACCAAACTCGGTATAAGCGTGCAATTTTGCAGACAAAAAAATAATTCAGTGCGAAAAAAAAAATTCAAAAAAAAAAGAAAATTGGTAAAAAAAGAATTCCATTAAGAGAGAAATAAACTAGAATTTTAAAATAAAATTGTGAAATGATACGCGCGAAAAATAACATTTTCATTAATAAAACGTGTTGAGGAATTTTCTATCTAAATTTTGACTACATTTCATGTGCGTTCAAGTGATAAAAATTGTTGTGCACAAAAAAAGTAAGCTTTATAACATTTTTTCCCTTCCATTTTTTAGTATAAAGATTTTTTATAAACATTTTTACAACATATTCCAGTCGAAGTTGTGTATAGTATTTGATTGTTATTTTGGCGCTTTTTTCACGGAGTGACTATTCTTTCATATGTTCAATGGTATAAATGGCAAAAGCTCAAGTAATTAGTTTGATTGCAAATCAATGTTGTGAAAACATGAACATTGAACAAACTTCTCAAATTGACAGCAATAAAATAAACATCTCTCTTGCAGACGTGAATGTCATGAATAAGTTGATCAATAATCTGAAATAATTCCGGTACTGCTAGACTACAGCCAAACCAGATTCACGTTTTTTTGTCTCATTCCAAAAACCAATTTAGCTTCAACATTTGCTACGTTCAGTGAATCTGTCATGTCAAATTTTGTGTTGATATATCTCATGAGTCAATATTATCGAAAGGGAAATAGAGTGCACCCAAGCACTTACCGTACCAATATATATTTAGAAGAAGAAGCAACCCCAATTCGTATGGTTAACAGTGTCCTAGCACAGTGCGTAAAGTGGGAGTCGTCATGAATTTTGTTGTGCTTAGCAAACCGTTACGACACAGAGAATAAAGCCATATGCTTGTGCATGTCCTACTTACATGTTACAGCAACAGCATGGCATAAGGAGAGCATAGCAATGCACACACACATACAAAAAAAAAAACAACAAAGAGAACGAAAAAAGCTTTTACATTGTCAAAAGAGAAGAAAAGATAAATAAAAAGAATACGATAGCGGAAATTAGAAAATTAAATTTCATCTTGTTGAATTCAGTTCATTTCTTGTTCGGTATTTGTTTGTCTCAGCATCTTGTTGTATGTCCGAGCTACAGTCATTTTACAGAAGCAAACACTTTATACACATCGTTTGTCAGGAAAAGAGAGAGAGCGAGAAATACGTCGGACGAATAAAATATGACAACCATACACCAAATATACTATACCACGTTAAATCACCAAAAAAAGAGGAAAAAACGGCATTTTTGACACACAAACAACAATGCCACACCAAAAATGGTATACGATTCACAGTTTGAACAATTCGCATATTTTTTTCGTCTTTTCTCATTTTCTGCTACAGCAATTTTGAAAAGTTTACATCTCGCCTATCACTTACCCGCTTCACTTGTCGTGTTTCACTTCCATTTTCATTATGATTGTACCGAAAAAAAAAACCAAAACATATAGGGTGAGTGAGACAGTGGAAGTGTTGCAATTCCGGATATTTTGTCTCACGCTTACTCACTTTTCATTATATTAGTCTCAGTTGTTTTGGGGGTACGGAAGCAACCGAACATTTTTTTTTCTTCGAACATTTATTGAGGCAATTTTGTTTTGTCCTATCATTTCAATTAGACCATTGTTATGATCTGTATAGTAAAAAAAAGTGGCTGATTCATGCAAAATGGTATCGATGTTATGTCGATATATGTATACCTAGTTATGCAATTCATTTTTCTAGGTCGAGGCTAACAATTATTTTACTAATCATTAAAATAACCATGACTATGTAGAACGATGCATAAGAAATTGGGCTACATGAGTAGTACATACATGACTAAAAAAATGTGGCACACACACAATAAAAGTACGACAAATAGCTATAACATGAAATTTGTTGAACTGTGCGAAAACGAATGAAAAAAAATTATATATAAAAAATGGTCCGGTGTGATGTAGTAGCTATGAGACGACAAAAATGCGACATACCCAATTTATATATAAAAAGGTACCTACTATCTAAAAAGCTAAGTAAATTAACCACAGCAGCTCACACAAACCATGCATAAAAGTTGGAATGAGATATAATAAAACCCGAACGAAGAAGAGCAAGATGATGCAAAATGCACATACACAGCTATACATAGCTATAAGAAGTGAAATCGAGATTATAAAAAGATGAAAATGAAACACGATGTCAATTCAAGTAAAATGTGAGCACTTCGTTCGGTTTTTTTATGTCTGGTTTTACCTTTCCGAGTTTGGTGGGTGTTTGAAGTGAGAGGAAAAAAACACGACAAAGCGGATCTGTTATCATAGAAGTAGCAAATAGGCGACAATTATTAAAGAGAAAAGGACCAACCATGTTTTACAAAGAGGATGAAATGAGAAAAAAAGGAACCCGTACGATTTTCTACTGTCCTAACTCCTTCTCACACTCTCAGTACAGGTGCTTTTTTTGCTTTTGCAATATTGCCCTTGTGTCCGTTATGGTTATGCTTGATTTTGTGCTCGTTCACTCGTTCGGTCGCTTTTGCACTTATACTCTGAATGATGGCGCGCATCTTATGCGACACGGTGTCAATGAAATTTTCATGGCGTATACTGATACGGACAGATGTTATGGATAATGGTATTTATTACTTGGCAGTTTTGTCAGAAAGAAACTCAATTAAGCATGCCCACCTTCTCTCTTACCCCATTAATCCGAGCACATAAAAGAATTTCGCTCCCATTCTCTTCTATTCATTCCATTTTTCATCTTCTATGGTTGTCTTTTTTGCTTTTGAGCTATACCCATAAAACCGGCTTTGTATAGATGTGCTCGCGCCCCATTGAAAGCCAATTCAAATTAGTTATTCTCTGTACTATAAATTCTATCCTCCCACAAGCAGCACTTGTTTGGCTTTTTTTCTTTATTTGAATAATGTCTAATTCTCAAAAGAACCTATGTAGATTACTATTCTAAGAATAGTGACTATTACATGATTATGAACAACTTCCCGTACATTGAACATCCAAAATTAGTACACATAATCCAAGCGCAAAATTATTCCCAAAGTTTTTCGCTCGATAGATTGCATTATAATTAAATTGAGTCAACCGGTGTACCATATTCTTTTGCTTGGCACGGGATGAACACTGCCACTTACAGTCGGACTTTAGTATTAAAGTGAAAAAAAAGACAATCTGAAACGATGATCTTTTTATTCTTAAAAAACCAAAGCTTTTGCACTTCGAAGTTAAGTGGAGTTTACGTGTTATCATTCGCTTTCATACACTTTGCCTAATTGAAACATGATTTTAATCACGTTTTTAAGGGTTCCTTACAAATTAAATTCCTTTTTTAAATTCCAATGTCAGGTACTCTTTAAATCTTGAATCATCGATAACAATGATAAGAACAAATTAAAAAGACCCTAGCTTGTTTTAAACTGATAAGAATTAACGACACAAATAAGATTTAAAGTGAAATCTAAAAGCACACCGAAAAATTGCTGACAAATTTCGTATTTTATGTACACCGAATGACATCGATGTTTTTTTGTTCAACTCTTGTGACAGCTTAAACATTTTCCTCGCTCTTCCTTTTGGTCGATGACATTCGAAAATTATCGCATCGTTCGTACTGTTTTCACTGCGGACACACTCATATACTTTTTAGGAAAATACCGCTTTTATTTATGCATATATTATTCGATAAAAAAGAAGGGAAAAAGTGTTTCCATCGTTTCTAGATCAAATCTTCTTTAAATTCAGTTAACTTTTTCGTGAACACACATGAATTTGCATAGCACGCTGTGTTTGTGTTCTCTATTTCGCCATCATTTTCGCGCCATCTCCTTCATAAAAACTCTCTCACTCTCTCTGAGACATTGTTTTATTTTTGGTCGCCTCAAAGTTGCGGTGGAACAGCAATAATTTAATCTGTAACACAGTATTTTCCTTGATTATAATATTAGTACGTAACACAGATTTTAAACACTAAATGTAACCTAAGCTGATTTACATTCATCTGATTAAAATCACCTGCTTTATTATGTAAACTAATGGTTGAGTGTAATAAATTTGCACCGTTACCTCGTAATAAACTTATTTCGATAATGTGTCAATGGCTGTAATGGACTGTTGCGTCGTTGCATTTTTTTCGTCGCTTCATAATTTTCGATCGTTTTTTTAAAATGTGTTTTAATTCAAGTTTTTGTTACATCTACCTGATTGGCTTCAAGCAAAAGAATAAAAAAAAAACGAGTTCATAAAGTTATAAATAAATAGTGGTGATGCAACTACGCAACAGTAATAAAGCTTTCGAAGAGGACACGAGATACATACAAAAGACGATGGTGTCGTAAATTATTCCCATGAAATTTTCGATAAAATAAACACAATCATAAAGTTATTGCAACCAGTAACGTCCATAATTTTTAATTAGAAATTGTGTATATATGAGACATGCAAGTTTCGAGGCAATTCGGATTGTTTGTTGAGATTTTGGTCGCATCAAAATCTCTCCCTTTTTTTGAACAAAAAAAAAAAACATTTTAGTACATAAAGTTTTTGGGAACACAATGGGAACACATTTTACAGCCAAAGTTTTGTTCATCAGTTTTATAAACCTGGAAGTGCAACACAAACACACTAATCATGGGACAAGTGGAGGTTGTTACTTTTTTTGCGTGCTTTAAACTCACTGGTGAAACTTTTCTTTTCCGATATGATCATTTTTTGAAGTAGTCCAATGAATCACCGCCGGCGGACTTCCATTTGAAATTAGCATGAGAGATAGTCGAACTAAATTAAATGTAAACGACGCCGTGGCGGTAAGCGGCAGGCGTGTCGAATCCATAAGTAGAGAGAGAGAAAAAAAAGAAAGCCACCATAGCCAATTCTACACCTATTCCACGGAGCGAACGAAAAATGGCGTTTAAAATATTTCGCTATCTTTCCGATGAAAAAAAAAAACTTAAATTTTCTTTTTAATGTGATAAAAAACATATTTTCACCCTATAAAATTTTGGATTAAGTTTGGTTATCAAAATCCATTCGGTAGAAAGTTTTGCATGAACCGAACGACACAGTTTTGACATTTTCCTGCCTCAATTCAGATCAGTTTGTCACTTTGATTAACGCACAAGATAGCAATTAAATGCCTCTTGTGAAACTGTTCACTGTTCAGCTGCTATCCGATGTTTTGTCATGATGCACCGAATCCGAGGATGTGTATACCCATATCT